CGCGCTTTATTGAACACAAAATGGACTTACCGTATTTTAAGTTGGTCGGTTCGATGCTATTTTTCATTGGCGCCGCCTGACCACGCTGTAAGCGTTGTTTTCAAGCTGCGGTCTCTGGTGTTCATGTCGGGCTGGTGAACAATGGTTATATTGCAGATAACTATACCAATTAATATACAGCAAAATCGTCATATCTGAGGACGAGAAAAGGAACAATATATACAGAAGCTGTATAAATTGATTGCAATCTGGGAAAGTTTATGTGGTTTCATGAGAGAGTGACTTTAAATTCTAAAATTAGTGTTGCATAGGTGCAACATATTTCTTTTGAATGGATTTCCGTTAATAAACTAGATAATTGTTGGTCTGTTCTGTTTCGCCAATTAGGTGGGTTTGTCGAGCAGATAATGTAGTTTATAAGTTCCTTATGGCACATAAGGTACAATTAGATGATATTAAGATGCTGTATATAATAAAGTCGAGGACGGAAGAGTTTGGCTTCTGATAATTTTGTTGTAAACATCCAGTTACGGAGACGTGACATAAAGTATGCACAAGTGATGTGATTCATATTCATTACTAGAGGATTTGTCATTTCAGCAATCTAGTAGAACAATTGTTAATGCATGAACATACAGGCCATGTTAAAAAGTATTGCATATTCAACAACATATATATGCCCTATCTCAGAATTAGTCTCATCCGGACCGAAGTTGCACTAACTAAGGCAACATCTGGTAAAGGGAAAAACAAGGGAATCAGAGTGTAGAAAATTTAAAGAAAAATTATCATTAGTGACCTAAAAGTATGGCATTCACTAAAGATCAGATTTTCCTCATTGCTAAAAGATAAAGGGGCATGGAGAGGGTAAATACTACAGTGACTCGAATGATTTGGTATTTCGATTCAAGTTGAGAAAGGACGCGTGATCATCATCGTCGCAGAACCAGGGAATACTAAGGCGATCCGGGTAGGCTACCCTGGTACCGTTACTGGTAACTTGCCGTGCGGTAGCCTACCTGTTCCAGCGTCGTTCAGGATAAGATTTTTGAGAGACGAGTTGGTATAGAACAGCGGTTCCCGAACTTTTTAAAAAAAGTTCCATGACGGACCCCTCGCAATTTTTTTTATTGATTCGCGGCACTTAAATGAAACATCAAAAGGGCACAACAAAAAATCAGTGCGCGGTGTGGTATAGCACTATAATGAAAAACACCTCTTCCCCACCTGCGTTTATTTATCATGATAAACCCTAACTTAACATAAGATTTGTCATTTTTCAATTTCTTTTTAGGAGGCATCTCGAAATTATTATTACAGAGATGAAAACGTAAAAATATATACCTACCGTTAATGTATGTCAAAGGCTAAATTTGACAGCTGATAACTAAAACTTAGTTCCTCTTTGTCTACGCTCTACCTACCTAACGCTATCTACCTTTCAATATAAAAGCGTGAAACAGCATTTAAAAGCGGACTGGCATACTTTATAAATTTCTCTGGCAAAAAGGCAGCGTCAGCTCGTAAATATATACTACACCTCTGCAGTCAGTGTGATATCCCAGGCCCATAAGTCTGTGACATCACAATGGACATCGTGTTTGAAACAAAAAGTGAGGAATCAGTGTCCCCAGAAGTGATTGCAAAGCAGCAAAGACGACAAATGTGTATTTGCAAATTTAAGCACTCAATACTTGTTGGACACGAAATGGACATAACGATCGTTTCAAAATTTTGTTGTTATTGTTATTTGTCTCCGTCTCCATTTTTAAAAAATCGCTTTTCTCTTCGAATACTGGACCAATTGCTTTGAAATTTTGATTCGATTCGAATTCGATTTTAATCGGTAAGTATGTTGATAGGTATTTGTCTGTCTGTATGTCTGTTAGATGCACGCGATATCTCACAAAAGCGAGATTGAATCTGCTCCCGATTTTGCATGTGCATCCATCTTATCTCGGACCAGAACCCTATTGATTTCGGGCGAATTATGTTGTATAATTAGCGAGTTATTATTTAATTAGTAATTAGTGATTATCTTGGCATATCATTTAGACTAGAGTAGCATTTTAGAAAAATAGGTACATATATTTTCTAGACATCCGATGATTTAATCGTGCTGTCCATGTTAAGATTATATAGAGCAGTGATCACCAAAGTGTGGGTCGCATCAAATATTTCTGGGGTCGCCGAGTGCCCATCGTTGTCTTTTCTTTTATTATGTGTGTGACTTCTCGGCTTAACGCTAGACACTTCAAACAAAAGAATGAATAACATGCACGCAGACAGGTAATATCAAGAGCAATTACGATAAATCAATTATGACATCATAATCACAAATTTAGTCCGTGTGAAAAACAGTGTTCTATATGACACAAATACTCAACAGCGTGTAGTCTGCACTGTTAAGTTGAATAACGCTACATAGGCTGGCAAGTTTCGATATTTCGAATTGGAGTGACTTCTTTTATAATAAGGCTATTGCTTAACGGCAGTAATTTATATTTTAAAGTAAATCGTTATTGTGTCTTAAATGTACTGTACAGGGGCCGTTGCTTTTACTGCAAAGCCTCATTTTTCAGGCTACCGTCATATTGATAATTACAATTTATTAAATGGCTGATAAACACAAAAGAAAAATATCGTATGATCAATCTTTTTGAAAGCTTAACTTTTAGTGCTTTGAGTTTGCTAAAATCAAAGCACCGAAATCGATTAAACGTAGAACACGATTTGCGTTTGAGCTTAATTAAGCAACATTAAGCCACGAATGCAAGATCTCGTTGGAAGGAAGCAGTCGCATTCTTCACACTGATTAAATACGGTTGTTGTTGGGTTCTTTTATTAAATTTCCGAATTGGATCTTCAGTTATGTTCCACTGTTTTCAAAAGATCCGGAACGTCGCTCAATGTGGATATCATCTATTGGCAGAACTGCTTGGTGTCAGGCCCAGAAGTCATCTCGCTTGTGTTTCACTGTTTGCGTACAGCACTTCGGACTTGACACCAAGCAGTCCTACCAATAGATGATGTCCACATTTTGCAGTGGAATATAAATTAAGATCCATTTCGTTGTCTATACTCTATACTACACGTACAGCCAACGGAACAATACGAAATAACCATTTTCAACAGCCAAATAAAACGGAAACGTATAATCCGACTTGCAACTGACAGCAGCCAAATGGACGTTTTTGTTTTTTTGCCGTTCAGTAAGTAAACAAAGTCATGTGACCCGTGCAAGTTCTCTATAAGCATCCCTAATATTGGTTTATGATTTTTCTGACGCTGGCGAACAATGCATGCCAGTGGTCGTTGCAACTCTTTTATCCTCGACAGTTTTGAGTCAAGCATATTGCGCCTATATATATCCGCCTATATATATATATATGCAAAAGATTCTGAGAAAAAGGCACACTGGGTGATTGAAATGTACCCAACTGATTTCTTTGTTATTGACCCCATTGCAATAATAATAAATCAAGGTATGTTTGTACAAATTTGTATATATATGATTTTACAATTGATTCAGCAGTTGCCAATATTCCATAAAACAGTATACTCCATAGACGTATCAAGTAGAAAGTCACCGTCACCACAGTGAATCAAACTTTGTCTGATGCTCATTGATGACTTACTTAAGAAAGCATCTGACAGCTGGACTCCGTGCAAATGCGTTATACTTCCCGGGTACAGTAGGAGACCCGCTAGAATCCTAAATTTTGCTGATGGTCATACGGTACTGATTGGTCACACTTCTCTATTTCAAACAATAGCTATCCCACAGTTTGGTGAGCAATCACCTTCATATTTGAGAGTAACGTGGCGCTTGGTAAGTATAGTATCTTGGCATGTTTTTCATATGAATATGGTAGTGTACAGGTTAGAACCTCTACCCAGAAATGTCAATTGACCAGACAGAAAGTTATATTTGGAAGGTACTGCACTGTTCAATCTCTTGTTATTTGCGTTATATGATCCTTGGCATAATATACTCTGCTTTTAAATTTGTTGATTTATGGATTCATATCACCATCCTGTCACGAGGTAATTTTTACATTCATAGAAAACATTTTGCGGCGTGCGTGGTCGTGATCAATCACTTACTATCTTACCTTCTTCTAGATTAAAGGTTACTATGGGTATTTATATGCATGGATGTTGAAACTTCGTGTCATTTTTGTAGTCACGTATGTGTATAAATAAATACATATATATATTATAACATATCATTTATTTGCAACTCATATTGTTTCATGATAGAAAAATGTTTATAGGAACAATACAGGGTGTCCATAAAGTCCCTTTACAGTTTCAAAATTGTGAAACGATTGAAAATTGTAAAAGCCATTAGAAGGTATTAATAAATATTCGTCTCAAGTTGTTATTACTTTCCATCGTTATCGTTTTTTTACATACGAAAGATTGGAAATTAAGACGCAACTATCAAATTATCGTTTATATATTTTCTTTGTTACATCGTATAGATCGCTAGTTATATCATAAAACAGATCATTAATCTAATGATTACTGATACGTGCGTTGCCTAATTAATTTTTTCCCCGAAGTAATTACATTATTCAACATTACTATCTGCCTATTTGTAGATTGTGTTAATTATTTTTTGCAAATGTATATTTGCTGCAAATGTGATACCTTATTTTGATAATTCTGATCTTATGGAGGGTATGATAACACAAGTCAAGTTTCTACAAAACTCAAGTTTCTACAAAACTGTAATTCGATATATAAACAATATTTTAGTATCGCTTCCGATATATATATCAAGATATGTATACATTTCATATAATTTTAGTGGATAAATAGAAATGGACGAGAGTCGAACACAATTGCAATCGAGTCACACCGTCGCTCTGTTGATAAATTTGAAAAGAATGAAGGAAAAAAATTTTTTGTGTGATTTTACTATAAGGTGTAGAGGACAATCCTTTTACGTACACAAAATAGTGTTAGCTGCTTCAACTAGATACTTTGAAGAAATGTTCATGGAAGAAAGTGGAATAGATAACAAAATCGTCAGGATGAATAAGTTGCACGTGGAAGCGGTTCAACAGTGCATAGATTATATGTACAGCAGCGTTGCCAACATCACTTTCGATAATGTTGAAAATGTTTTGCATGCATCTGACTTCATGCAGTTGATCGGACTAAGCGAACTCTGTTTCAAGTTTTTAAAACGTACCATATCATCAATTGAAATATACCACATTGCTATGTTTTTGGTAAAAACATATGGAGGAAAATATGGCGAAACATTTTTTAAAGACTTCGCTATGGATGCTACAGAGCGTATTATTGTCACTGAATCATTTTTAAACTCAAATCAGGAAGATCTCACGAGGTTATTAGGAACTATACCATTAAATATAGAAAATGCAAATGTCATCAAATGCAGGGCGTTGTTCGAATGGTTGAAATTTGAGAAACATCGCATGAAGTTATTGCCAACATTGATCACAAACGCATGTATATCATTGCAACCGCGTAAAGTTGTTATTGATACAGGTGTGGCTGAGTTAATGAATGAATTAGGTACTTTTTCGAAGAAAGAAAATGATGATAAAAGTTTGAATGACGCTAAATTGAGGAAAACCAATGAGGTAAAAACCGAATTCTCAAACACATCCGGACATGCACCCAAATTGGAAACTCAGATTGCTATTTTAAACAAACCTTCTGGCTTCGTAGAAATATTTCATCCCAAGTGGGGTACGTATTTAACACTTTGCAAAGTCAGCAAAAGCGTTGACGTCAAGTTAACTTCTATTTGTGGAAATCTATGCATGTTAAAAGAAAGATCTTTATTCATCTGGAATGGACAAACGTGGAAAAATTCAGTTCATTTGCAACGAAAACCAAATCGCTGGTCGCAATTTCTGAGCTTCCAAGACTGCGTTTACATCATTGACAAATTTCAAACGTGTTGGTATAACCCTAAAAACGAACAGTTGGTAGAAAACATTGATGGTTGTCTTTTAGGCGATGGGTTTTGTGCCACAGCTTCGGATAATTTAATTTATGCAATGGGCGGTTGGGATACTGGCAAAGTCGCTACACGCTTTGACCCATTAACTGATACTTGGTCATCGATTGCACCCATGAATATGCGCCGTTCTTGGGGAACTGCCGTCATTCTTAATGAAAACGTTTACGTTATCGGGGGAAAGTCATCAGCTTTTGGAAAAAATCAGAAATCAGTGGAACGCTACGATACAGATACAAATACGTGGACAAAATCTGGTAACATATCACGCGGCCGATCTCACTCTAGCTCGTGCGTAGTGGGTGATACCGTATATGTATTCGGAGGAGAGATCGCGAATGAAAGTGAAATTGACGACAACAAATCAGATTTATGGGAACCTGTTGTTACTTGTGATAAATATCACGGAAAAGTATCAGTATGCCTTTACAATTCAACAAATATTGCCCACAATGACAAATAAGATTAATTTCGCTTCAAAGTTTTACACGCATTAATTACACTTTTTGCCATCATTACGTAATTCTTTTTTTCCTGCACTTTTAAGTGCCAATGAAAAAGTGTGTAATCATGCGATAACCGGATTTCTTCGACGGCGCTGGAGTTTAATTGATTAGCTATGACATGTAATTAATATCATCAATACAGCAGATCACACCAATATGAATCTAGTCACACTTCAGGTTTAAAATTATGCGAACATAACAAAATTTCTGTGTATTTTATAATTTGCTATAATTCATTGTTCGAGCATTCATATCTGGTGATATTACTATAGATAGTTAGAGCTGTCGGACTATTACAGTAAACTTAAGTTAAAATATCATTTATTCCACACTTTATTAGCGAAAAAGTTGTGTTATATATAATTCATTCTTCCTAAATCAGCCATGCCCAACAAAAATAAAAAACGGCTCCCACTTCTATCTTGACTACAAATATTGAAAGCGCTTGGCAAGGTATAGTTGAGGGGGCAAGTTACCAACGCAATCCTAAGTTTCTCTATTATATCTAATAGGTTTTATTTTAAAGAATTATTTATCAGCATATTCTTTGAAAGGCTCAGGATGAGGCTGAATTGTGATGTACATGAGTGAAATTATTTGATATAAATAAGAAGCCATAAACCAATACAATATAGAAATGTGTGTCACGTGACTGTTGTTCGACCGTCAGCATCAGAGAATAGCCTTAGAAAACTATCGGGACACTCGTTTCATTTGCATGAAACCGCTAAGCCAATGGTTCCTAACACCACGTTCTGATAGTTTACTTCATTTTAATCTACACGTCAAATATAAACAAGTGCGACGTAGTGTAACTGCTCTACTAAATTGACCCACAGTAGAAGTATGCACGAAATATAAGTAACTGGGTCACAAAATTATTGAAAGCTCAATTATTACAATACGCATTTCATCATAAATAAAAACTGGTAATATTTGACATGTATCGAGTAAGCGAAGCATCGCAGTCAACCTGAGTAATTTCTCAATTTTGATCAAGCAATTGATGACTAATGATTTCAACTTGAAACATTTTTTGCTTAGACATTCCGAAATATCATTTGGCCAATTGGTACTTATTATAGCGGAAAATTTCATACATCCGTTTATAACGGAAGCTTGTTTGATCACAGTTAGTTGTAGATATAATTACACCGGTACTCCCGAAGTATGTGAACCAAGATGGCGGACACGGAACGTATAATTTCAGGTACAAATACTACGGGAGTCACTTGACTAGTCCCCGAACTGCCATCTTGGTTCACATACTCCGTTGGTACCACAACACCCCAATGACAATATGCATTTCATATAACAAACTTTGTAATGCACAGTATAAATTGTTGAACTACTGCCAATGTCACAGGATTTTTTATTTTATTTCTGCTGATGTCTAATGAGTATAATCCACATAGCTTATTCGCCATCGTCGTATGATTCTACACTGTCGAGTGATATTTCGGACAATGGAGCAAGGTATCCTTTTGTTGAGATGTAAGAAGAACTTCTTTGAACAGCAATGGAATGATTACCAGCTTGTTCAATCACTTCATGTAAATTATTCATTCCAATATTTTCTTGATTAGGTGGAAAAGCTGGATTCATTACAGGATAGACGGGAAGCATAACTCTTGGTGCAACGATGTTTCGTCGTCGCCTTGAATAATAAATAGTACAATTGTTGAGTGATATAATATTGCAAAATAAGAAAGAAAACTTGGAAATGAATTATAAAGTTGAAACTAGGATGATACTGTTTAGGATACCACGTTTGAATTTTTGGGAAAACTGATTACATTTTTTTTTTCAAATTTTGAATGATGTGATAATTTTCTTCAAGTTACAAATTTGTAAATAGGCGATAATTAGACGAAAACGATTATGGATTTTAGTACGTGCTGTCAATGTGAAGTGAGAAATTCCTGGTGCCCAATGCTACCGCGGCTCCGTGTCCATATGTTATTTTGTTCAATCTAATTTTTGGTTTAAACAGACTTTCGAAGTGAAACAGTACAACAAAGAAAAGTACAGCTGATAAGTAAATCAATACCATAAACAATCTTCCTAATTTTTACCTGTTTCCGAGAGCATCCTGGACAGAGACTAAAAAAAGAAATCCTGCGGAAAATAGTAAGATTCCACTGCCAATGAGCGAAACAATTATAGTGATATTCCATACTGAGACTTCTGATGGACCGGGTAAAGAAGTGAGGTTTACATTGGAGTTCATTTTGTCTGTGGGCAATAAAATGAATCCTGCTACAATGTTGGTCACTGTAAACACGAAATTAACGTTATTCTATAGCGCATAGCCTTTTACTACTCCATACCGCATGATACAAAATTATTCAGTAGAAAACCCCTTTGATGAAATATTATAACACAAAAACGGAAGACAGAATAAATCAAGATGAGCCCAGAAAAAGATTTCAAAGTATGAAAATCAAAACTATTCTTAAGATACATTTCCTTTTGACCTAATAGAATTTTGAAAGCTATTCGTTACGTAGTTTAAAATAAAATGATTTTTGTTTCCACGACAACAACATTTGAAACCACAACAAAAATCTAGCAAAACGATCTATTCGTGTTGTGTTGAGAATTTTTTTTATGTCATTAAATTCTGCCTATCCCGAATGCCAGAACTGAACACTTTAGCTTACGTCTATATACGAATAAACAGGCCTACTTTTTTCTAACATGGAAGGTGATGGAAACAAGTTTCTAGAGCCACTGTTTCTATTTCTACATAAATATGATTACGGACATGGGGCAGAATGGACTATTTTTGCCAGTACCCACACACTTGATGGATGAAATTGTTTGTGAGGAAACACCACATGAATGCGCTGGTGGTACAATCTTAGACGATTCGTACCGTTTCAGAAAAAGATTGGTTCGTGATCACAGAAGGAAAAGTCATGGCGAATTATGTCAAATCTGTTCTCTCTCTACGCCCTCATTTTGGAGTGAGAGCTGTAAAAAGTTCAGTTTGTAGTTTTTACAGGTTACATAATATGCTATCCGAATCCTGATGCCTTCACCTGCTATATATATATATATATATATATGCCCTTTTCAGTATTAATGCACTAATTCTGACTTGGTATGCTATGCTTTCTCATAAACTACATAATGCTATTGTCCAAGAATATGCAAATCTCTAATTGATTTCTTACTAAAAATATTAAATGAACTCTGGTCTAACAGAGCTCTATAAAATTTTTCATAATATCACTGATATCTTAGTTTAGGGTGGTGGCAAAATAATATTCCTAACACATTAGTGAAAATAAAGAAAGAGGACATCACTTGTAATTGAACGCCATTTGCATATTTCACGACATGCTTATTTGCAAACAACCTCATGTATGCGTGCAGTATTTTATACGTATAAACGACTCGTTAGAAAATAGATTCTTTACTATCTTGTGGGCGTGGGGCTCAAATATGAGAACGTTGTTCCTTTTCAATCATTGAGTCGGCAAAATATTACAGATGTTTTGTATTCCAAAATCAGGAATGAAACATCGAATGTCACTTTTAAATAGTTGGTTTTTCAGTTCAGTTAATTCTGTCAAAAATTTACTAAAAACAAAAAATCCCCCCCAGTTTGCGTTTATTTCTCTAACTTCCAATTAAAATGCATTTTGAAATATTCTAATTTTTACTGTAAAACAATCATTATAAAGATGCCATGAACACTTGACTACCTAAAATTTCTGACGCTTCATTTTCACAATATACAAAATGTCCACAATTCAAATTACGCTGCTTGCAAACTATGTCTAGGTTTTGTAAAGAGGACGTTTGGGCCTGTTCCTTACCATCAAGTTTAGGCCAACTATGATTTCCATATTCTGTTTGTTCAAAACTGAATCATCTCTATAACATTTATTGTTTTGTTAGAAAACAATGGAAACTTTCCCCAAATGCTGAGACAGCGGTCATCCACCAACGTATATTCAATTTAAAGGCATTTCCTGATACATTGCCGATGTATTTTATTTTTTCTATATTATATGCTAGCTTGCATTTTACGTTTCAATGCTGCTTCCTTCCGCATTTTACCATTTTCAGAAAATTATAAATTTATCAGGATTAAAACATCACGTCTATTCTCAATGCAATATATAAATCAAAGCGACCGAACACTCCAAAATTGAAAATTTAATTCGTAAAACACATTTTTGTCCAGTGTCTTTAACAAATAAACTTTTATTTTCATTTCTTCCATATGAAATCATTGTTGCTACCAACAACGATTCAAAAGTTTGTTAGTACATCAATGAATATGAGGGTGAAATATTATTAACCTGCATCATTCTAACTGCCTCACACTGGCAGTTGGGCAGTTTAATGTGGCACCTTCGCGGCATTTAATCATGTGAGAAGCGGTTGGGAGTCATTTTCATCACTTCCTTCAGCTTGGAAATCGTTATCTCCGTTCATTTCTACATCGTCATGAGCATTTAGGTTTTCCATCGATTGCCTGGCAAAGTCTGCTTGTTCGACAATGTTGGCTTCTTTGATTGGGTCTTCTTCCAGATTTGCCACTGGAGGCAATAAAGAGCTTCGGTCTTGAACGTTGGCTTCCATAATGGGATCATTTTCAATTCCTTCTGCAAGATTTTGATCATCTCTTGCCGGTACAGGTGGGGCATTATCTACATCTTGATTTGGTTGCTGCTGCTCGACTACAGATGCATGTGTTCCTTCGTGCATTTCAACAGGTTTACGAGGCTGCTGAATGACGGTGCGGTTACGTCCAGTCGCCATGGCTACCATAGGTATGGCAGCAGGAGCTGGACCTCTACTCGTTTGTACTGTAGCAGGTGGTTTATTTGTGGCAGATAGAGGTGGAGCGGTTGTCCCAGCGCTCAACTTGCCTGGGGTTGGCCACTTCGAACCAGCAGTTGTTGCAGCTAAAATGAAAAAAATTTTAAGGGTATACTTTCAGTGAGTAGTGGGTACTCAAATAAGTTACATTTGTTCACTATTTATAGATATATTTCATATCAATCAATTTGAAGAAAAATTTAAAATCTCAAAATAATTTATGGCTAATTTTATATTTTATCAGGATGATATCATATTGATCACCTTCGCCATTTCAATTACCTGGCGCCAATTGGTAGATATTTTTCCTAATTATGAGACATAGATTCTGTAGAGCACACCAGCAATGTAACATACTAGGCAGTACATCAGTAACAGATATCGTAGAATTCAATACAACTTACGTTTTTTTTTCTTGATCAAACTTGACAAATGGTGCTTCTTTTTTGCAGAATCAGTGACGATATCATCTTGAGCCAGCTCCAACGCGACAAGTTCTTTATTGACAAACTTATGCATTGGACTGTAGATAGGACGTCCACGCTTGCTTCTCATGACCTGGAATACATTGATTTGATACAATATATTATACTACATTGAAAAGTACTTCCGTAGTGTGTGTAACAGGCCATGGTTAAGCCAAAATTTTATTCCGATTTTCCCTATTTTAGGTCTATTACGAGTTTGGGGTCTGTCTGTGTTAGCCAAGTGAATATACCCCCTGCCCATAGGTTTCAGTCCTTTCACACAACTTGATGTAAAGTAGGCAAAATTAGTTACCTCCATATTGATATACACACTTCTGGAGCGTCCATTTAAATACCCAAAACAAGTTTAAAAATAATTATTTCAAAAATCGAGATATATATGCTTTAGTATTATCGCCAATGATTAGGGATGTAACTGGAGCGTCCATTTAAATACCCAAAACAAGTTTAAAAATAATTATTTCAAAAATCGAGATATATATGCTTTAGTATTATCGCCAATGATTAGGGATGTAATTGGAGTTGAAAACAACAATCTTGTTTTACTTTATCATTGATGGACGCAATTTGATCCCATTCCTCCTTGCTTCTAGGTTTGCTGAAGAACTGATCAACAACAATTTTCGCCTGAGCTTTTGCTTTTGTATCCAAACCTTCTTCAAACAGAGACATTTCATTCGCTCGGTATCTAGATAAGAAACGAGCGTTTAATCAATGTTTGGCAGCTCTGGTAAAAAGATATTTCAGTAAAACTAACAAGGCAGGCGTATATTCAGTTAAACATAGTACAGCGTTCGTCAAATGTGTTTTTACTTGACCTTACATGTTTTATATTGAACATTTTGTATTGCAATCTCATAGCTTGATAGCCATCAATTACCTAAGTTACGATAAGGTTTTATTTATTTATAAAAAGATATAAAAGCTATAACGAAACTAATTAAACTATATGGAAAACCACGGACTCTTGTCGGTCTACCGTTCCTGGCCCAACCTCACAGCAAATCACATCAAGTTCAAAAATGTTACGAATTGCGGTTGATTACCTACGTATATCCTAAAATTCAAATATTTTGAATGATGCAATAATTCAATATAGAAACCTACTTATCGATGTATTTTCCTTGCTCGTATGAATATTTCGATAAGCATCTAAATACGAACATGAAGAACACACCAAGCATCAGAGCCCATGTCAAAAACCACCAACCAACAATGTGACTATAAGCTCGAAGATCTCGAGCAATACTCTCGGATACACTGCGGTCGAATGGAACAGGTTTTGCTCTGTTGAACAGAAGAGAAAGAATGTTAGAAAACAATGTGTAGAAAAATGGAAAGCCGTAAATAAACGTTAGTAAAAATAGTTTTATTTAACAATAACACGATAAAATTGACTTATATGCCTTTTATACATAATGTAAGTACAAAGCTTAAAATGGGAATCAAAGCAATAGTAAACCCACCCGTGCTGTTGTGGGCTGTCACAACATTAATCTTAGACCAAATACTTTTGAAAATTAGAAATAATTGACGGTATGTATACCTAATTGTGCAACGAAATATTCGCTTCACTTATTTCTATGGAACAGTAAGCGAGCGAATCGTTAGTGTATTGCGATGGTTCCATTACATTTGAACCCACGTACATTTGAACCCACGACAATTGCACCTGCATACTATTGCACCTATGGAAATTTTTTTTGTTTTACGGATATTTGAACCCATACTAACCCTATACCCATGGGTTTTAGCACCCGCATATAGATTGAACCCGCGGATATACACATGGGTTCAAATGTACGGTCACCTATTGCGATAAGTACGGGATGGTTTTGTACCAAAATTGAAAATTACTAAGTTTCGTCAATAGATATACAAAAGTTGAATAAGCTACGTTTAAAAACCTGACTTGTATTTGACAAAAACACGGATAAATATATATATAATATGCTGATTAAAAAAATAAAATCGAGTAAAAGAAATAATACACTGTTTGTCGAAATGTACCGTTAGCCCTATGAATATAGCTTGGAAGCGATATAATCTATTTTGAGCATATTCAATTATTCGTAGCTTTGCTACAAAATTTAACAATAGTTATGACGAGCCAAAGTAGCCTATACTTACTTAAAGTAACAGGGCGGGGGTATGGTGGTGTTCGGAGCAAGACTGAATTTTTCTTCTACTCCGGGATCATCCGGTCTAGGCCAAGCTGCACAAGCGTAGTAATCACCCTACAATATAGTTTGAATTAATGTTGTGTAAAATATAATGAATATATATTATCTTGCGATAGGCAATTGTCTACAGAGGAATGTTTATAACTTTAACTATAAGGCTTCAACGGCACCATCAGATGTCATATTCGGAAACACAACATAGTCAGATCCGTACAGTTGCTAACTGAAAAGTTTTGACTTATACTGAAGTTTTATGCCAAGAACATCCAATTTGCTTTGGTGTACCGTTAATTTCAAACCGTCACAGCCGTGAAGAGTTGGTCACATGTTCAAACAGCTAAAATGTGAGATCAACACTATTCAATTTATTTTATTTTACATGACAACATTTTTCAACATACGAATCAATTCGCAAGTATTTCATTCGTTCATAGTAAACATTTTTTCATATTCCCACGCGTTGCTCATCGAAATTTAAACGAAGCAAGTGGAAAAAATTTCCTATGCTACTTTAGAATCTCCAAATAAGAAATAAATGAACAGCGAATAATGCCAAGAAAGTACGTGAAAGTGATTTGTTCTACACTGACCTTCAGAAACGATATGACGATCCATGTTGCCGGTGCTAGAATTGCTTTCATCGTTATATTTAGAAAAATAAACATAAAATGGAAAACTCGTTTACATCCTTTTCCAACGCCTTGAGTCCGATTACACATCCCTGAAAAGAAATAAAATTTGCTAACTTCCTATTGTGAATATTATATTTATTGGACAATATTGTTTAACTAATTCACCCCGATAAGGACCACGAAAAGCGGGCACTGATTTAGGATAGGATAGGATTTACATATTTATCCCGGGGGAGAGGAAAGCCGATAAGACGGCTTATCCATATGGCGAACCACGGCCTCTCGTCCGGTTACCATTCCAAGTCGGGTATGGGATTAGTTTTTTACTGTATTGTTTGTTTTCGGAAGCATGGACTTGGTGGTGGAGAAAGCCGTAACTGACCAGCGGTTACGTGAACCACCCAACGACGGCGAGGAGTCCAGCAATCCTCTCGCACATAACCATCCCTGCATGGGATTCGAACCTGCGAACCCACGCGGAGTAGTTAGAGGTGCGGTGGCGAGCGTATTCCTAACGCTTAGCCCGTTGAGCCACACCGCCGCGCCGATGATAAAAATGAGTAACTCTAATTATGAAAGAACGGAAACATATCGTGGAAGAATCACTCTGCAACGACGTTTAACCACATGAAATGCGTGGGATATTAGTTTGATAACATCACACGCAGCGATAATTTCCTACTTAAAGGTATGGACTTTCCCTGCTTGTATTGAGGATAAAAATCTGTGGTAATATTAACACGATACGTGAAATGCCGTACTCAGCTATTCGGCACTGAACAATTTGAAAATTTCTGTTATTTTCAGAACTTAATCTGAACTATATTTTATGTGCGGCGTTTGATGTACTGTAAAGCGTATTATGCGCTTTCGTCAGTTTTGTACAAATATTAATATTGCAATAAATTATTTAACAAATGGAATACATATATATATATTGCTGTATGTTTTCCGATATCGACCATGATGTAAGTGTATAGATTATTTTTGTTTTAACGACAAACGGAGAAAAAAACGTAATAGAAATCACTGCATCGCCAGGTAGATTGTCGTACACGTTTCCAACCCATCCGGGCCATCTCGAATACGAAATATTTAAGGAATGGCTAGAAACCGAATTATCGACAGTTGTGGAGTATTTCGACGACTCTATGAATATTTCTCACATAATTTGGGCCTTGTAGTTTAGCAAATTTCTTTAATGTTCAACGAAGCGTGAAGATTCTTTGTGTTGCAATAAAAGTTCCCAACATTTCAGCGATTGGTGTATTTGTCAAATTCTTTCGGTTTTACAATCGAGACAAACCCACTGTTATTTATATTCGACTACTTGTCCCAAACTTGTCAATAGCAGGCGATATTTTTGCATAGACTAGATTACAGAAAGGAAACTCCATGTAGCATTGACTGAGAACCTTTTCCGAAGCATTGATAAATATGAAGGCTAAATATAGATTGCAGTCTATCCACATAAAAGATTCTAGTACTTCTAGTATGTTGATGATAAAACTGCATGATTCAACAAACTATTTACTGGCTTTTCATTTCATGGAAAACTCACCCGTTGTTAACCTCCATGTTCTTCTATTGACAACGTAACCAACGACCAACAGGATTGCAGCTGGTCCCCAGATGAATGTGGCACCGTAAATCTGGGAAAATTAGAAACTATTAGCTCCATATGAATACATGGGGATCTCAAGAGCCGAATTCAAAAATGTGCTCCACATCGGGTTCAAAATTATCGATCAATTTGCAAAATATAGAACGCCTCTTGCAAACTTAATTATGGCTCTATATGTCATTAAAACGCCATCAGAAAATTTCCGTTTTGTTGGAACATGGACGTGCGTGACGACCACTGCCAACATCTTTCAATGTTTTTTAAATGTTATTCTACTGAATATTTTCAACCAATGCTTTAGCGTGTATTGCACAATTCCCAGACAAAAAAAAATTCTTACCTCATTCATGGGACGACTACATGGACAGAAAAAGAAAATGAATTTCATCAATTCCTCAGAACCAATTGTTATTCCAACAATTCCAAAGTTTTGGATCGAACCTTTGTTGTTCGCTCCAAACTTTCCTGTGTAATAAATATAAATTATTCGATTTTGAAAATGGAAGATATTCATATACGTATTTATTTATATATTTCCGAGGATATGGTCTTGTGAAACTAAACTTTTTTTCTATATCCAGACTTCAAACTTACTTTCGAATCAAATTTATATCAGTAATCCATTTACAGCTGAAAATGGGATCGATTTGAATGGACTGCTAAGTGTTGATAGAGTGAAGACTATGTACATTTTAATTTCAGCGAAATAATGAGGCAACGTCACAATTATCGTGTAACATAATTCCAATAACTGCCCCTATATTTTGATAAGTGCTAATATGGTTTTTAGATCTCGAGTTCTACTTTAACGTATTGTATCACCATGAAATTACCAAAAATATGTGTGCTTATAACGACCCAATTTAAAGATTTTGTGATTGTAAGGTGTTGTAGGGCGCCATGAGAACTGAGAGAAGCCATTCAAACAATTTATAAGCGGGCAACCACGACTAATATACCATGTCAATATTGCAGAAAACCTCATATTTGGTATTGGGTTTCCTCATCAAATTTTCATTTTGCTATGAAATTATACTATAGTATATCAGTCACTGTAAATATAGCTAATTATGTATATATATGAAAAAATGTCAATGGCCAATGAGAAAACCATTACTATACATGCTATGCTTGCCATTTTGGGGTTAATTTTTATTTTAAATTAATACAGTATTTAATAATAACAATGCTAACAAGTTTTGGCATATTTAAAAGTCGTGGCCATGATTATCTTTAATCGCATAATAATTCGTTTCCCGAGGCGGAAACGACAACCGGTAAGTGGTTTTATTTTCGGTGTTAATAACAGGGTTTTCCATCAGCCTAAACTTCTTAATTATAGTTCGACTTGACATTGAATCGTTTGTGTTTAGATATTTCTCAATTGAACTACAATATGAGCCTTTATTGAGCATGAAGTACAAACATTGCGTGTCGAAAATCGTGCACCATAATGCGTAATATTCGCTTTCGTCAAATGAATTCTATAATTTAACGAAAGTTTATAAGTTTATACAGCAATGAATACCATGCATCAGTAATCATCCGTTTTGGATGTATCGATGTGATCAAGGCGTGGTCAAATCCTAATACAAGATTATTTACTTCACTGGGCGCAACGCTAGAGTTTCAAAAATAGTATTCAAAAAGTTAACGGGGCTTGCTGACAAAAAATTAATAGACCACGCTATCACATATTTGCAACTGTTATGTTAAAGTGTTATTCAAATTCTCGAAGGAAACTAAAAGAATACATAGATAAAATAAAAAACATACCAAACGCAGCAAAAAGCTGAGCCATAGTGGAGGAGCCTTCTTATGACGACCGGCGCACTTGACGTTACAAATCTACACAATATAGTAGCTAAAATATGTAAATTAAAAAAACTTTTATCTTTTAGGCTTATGACAACTATGCAGTATAAAACTACACTGTCCTTTGTTTGAACCTCTCAAATGCTGGTCTAACCGCAAACACGGCTACTATTATAGTAACTTCGACATTGCCCGAAGTCGGTATCGGTGTAATTGTACCTGCGGAATCTATGCAAATCCTCGCCTTGGGGTATTATTTTCGATCAATTTTGACCAGAAAAATGAAGCGTTCTAGTTAATGGGATGAGAATTTCACTTTGTATTACTCAGGGTGTTCAAAACATCATAATACGTAAATTCTGCCACGATCTAATGGTTGAAAATGCTTCTCTCGCAACACATTGCATATACCCGAGTATGACTGACCTATTTATATTGACACAAGCTGGGAGCTGACCATTGTGAATAGCTGTAGACCAAAAGACGGTAAAAAACCCAACTTATCATTGTTTACGAAGGTATGCACAAATAATACGACAGATCCCTATAATAAAGGACACGGCACAGTTTGGCTTAACGGTTGAATGAATCACTGAACCGCATTTTACATACATCACTGGTAATAGTTGAGAACGGTGAATTGTGACTTCAACAACAACTGTAGTGCAATAGTTTAGCGAAATATCTTTCACTTTTGAATTTTGACTCAACGCGCGCTCCAAACATTCTTACTTCACTGGGCTTTCGTACGCTTGCATTATGTCAGAACGATAGCTACTGTATGTTGAATCACGCCCAAAAACATTCCAAATATGACGTGTAATACATTTGTAAATAGAAAACAGTGTTCTCTAATGAAAATCGTTAAACTGAAAAAAAAATTATGCGGTAAAATATCTATCTTGACGTGATTTGTAATATCCAATAGAAACTAGATAAATTATTTCACGATATATACTGAATCATTTTGGAAACTTGTTTTTGTTGTTATTGCTAAATTTGACGCATTAGACGGCAATCTTTTCCTCGTAGCCTAGTTTTCAACTGAATAGTATTTCTTAAAAACAATTTGTGCAATTAAAAATTCAAGACTATCTCTTCACTCTAATACAACAGTAAATAATAAAGACATAAATATTAAAAGTATTACGATAATAAATACAAGTACCTATCGTTACCTACGGCTAATTTACACAATTCAATTCAGACTATGATGACACATTGTCAGACAAACAATATTGAAATATTTACGAGTTACGTGTAGCAACATGTTTGTAGTAAAAAAAGCTGCCATTATTAGTGTTTTTTCGTGAAAATGGCTCAAACCACCCTGATGCGAAGTTAACATCACAATGCCCATAAACAGAGTCTTATTCATATTCATATTTATCTCATCAACTTACAAGACCGCTTGGGGTTTATTAATGTGGGAAATTGAGCATGAAGTATACAAACTTCTAACATCTATTTTCATAAATTATGTACTCCTATGTTACACTACATACATCATCTAATTGAATACTCTTAGTTTCATTTTAAGCTGACTGTGTCTTATTCTAAACTTTGTTATCCTATGTTATTCTCATAACGTTCACTTCTAGTTCGCAAGTTGTTTACCTTCGCCGAATCATTTAGCATAAATCATTTTTTTGTGTCACAAATTTCCTAAGTAGGCTATTCTAATTCAAACTGTCTTGAAGTTTTCATCAATCTATTTGAAACTGCCCCGTTTTTCTATATTTTTTCACAGTGATTTCTTTGAAACCGGGAGTATTGGGATCCATATCGTAAAATCTATGTGAAGGAGTACTTGATGCATTTTTGTATATGAATCTGAAAGTCAGCAACGATGTCTCTCGTCTCGTCAGGGAAACGCTGAACTAACCTGGTAACGGACAAGCAAACCAAACAATATATATATGACTACTAGGATTTCGAATCCGAATATGACAATCTTTACAATATGTTATTTGAAGGTCTTTCAGCTTCACTTATTTTCTATACAAATGTCAAAATTCACCAGACCGAAGCGATTCGTAAAATAAAAGCTACGTGACTTAGATACGATAACTGAAAAGCCATTCGTCCACAGGTAGCAAGCAGGTAGCAAAATATATATATTCAACACCATCAAGCACATTTGATCAGCATATAATTTGGTTTTTGGGAGTATATATATATAATATAAAAGAGTGACAAGAAGTTACTGTCTAAAATGCACAATGCCTGTTTAGAAAAAAAAAGTTGGAAAAAAACAACTTTTAGGCTTTAATTGTATCGGTGTAACCAATGCTCTGTCGATGCCTGACTGGTTGTGAGTAGGCTACTATATATATATAGCAGGATCTTTGCGTATGGTCGTACTAGTGCTTGTCAGTTTCACCTGGCGTTTTCGCTGCTCGTTTTGTTCCATAATTACACTTGTTTTATTTCAAGAGTAGCCTATTGCACGCACAATAGATCAACTGTAGGCCTGTACCGAAATTTTTGAATGTGGGGCGCGCTGTTGACGACTGATATCAGACTAAATTCAACTGCCCCAGGTTACCTTACCGTTTCAAAAAATTTCCATGTCATGTTCCAATTTTCGCCTGTTTAGCACGTTTGCCTCACTTTTCAAAGTTGGGGTTTTATATTATTATTAATTGTTGGGAAAATGGTTGAAGTAAGCATTTGAAGTGGAATTCATACTATGTTCGGAGCTAGGATGAATATAATACTTTGAACGAAGGTTAATGTATTTATATAGGGATATCTCGATCGGTAAGTATGTTAATAGGTATTTGTCTGTTCGATCTCGATCGTTAAGTATGTTGATAGGTATTTGTCTGTTTTCGTATGTTACGCGATATCTCACTAAAGCGAGATTGAATCTGCTCCATCTGCTTTTGCATATGCATTCATCATATTTCGGACCAGAAGCCTATTGATTTTGGATGAATTATGTCGTATAATTAACGAGTTATTGATGGTGCCGCTATTGAGTCAGAGCGAAGGAATCGAAACCGCAAATCGATAAGTCGGCGGTCTCCGATCGCTATCTAGTCTTAAGTGTTGATAAGAACCACTGGTTCTCGTCCGGAGACCATTGCTTTCCGGGTAATGTGAATACTTACATAGTTATTTGATATGCATGGACTTGATGGTAAGGTAAACCGTCGCCGTTAATCATCCTACTCCACGACGACGGGGTGTCTAGCAATCATCTCGCACATAACCAACCGAATTCGACCTTTTACGGGACAAATATACGCGAGGAAGCACGCGTATTTCTAACGCTTGGTGAATTTTCTTACCAAGCGTTTCAATAACTTCCACGGGAATACGGAAACAAACCTGTGAACCTAAAAGAAACGACATATTTACCCTAACTAAGCGCCTTCAGACACCTTTTCTTGGAACAAAACAAGCGGATAATACACACCTGACCATGCATAACCTGTCTTCTACAGATGTACCTCACAATTCCCATCGTAGCCCTGTGTGACGCAACAAACGTTCGCATGAAAGCTTTTCGCACTGTAAATTTTACCTACTTGACACTATAATCCATCCAGTACAGTAGAGTTGTCTATGATGCTTGACCACAACACGCCCGTGAATTGCCGTAAACTTTTACTGATCATAACCCATAAAATCAGTGACGTAACAAGTGAAATGCTGGATTGAAAATTATTTTAATGACAATAAGTCACAAAGCAAATCAAAAAATAACGATGGCGGAGTATTGAAAAAAAACAAAAAACAATAAGAGTTCTCGCCTACAAGAAAGAAAAATATAGTGTAATTTTACAACATGATATATTTACTAAGTTGCTTAGTATCGGGATTACATTTCTATTCACCAAGCATAGGCTGAATAAAAAGCGAATTAAATGAACTGTTTTTATTCGATAAACCATTATTGAGTGAAAATATATGCAAGGATCACATCCGGCCAGATACAAATTAACTTATACTTGAATGACTTTATCCAAATATATAAAGTATAACTCGGGCGACAGTGCACTTCATTGCTATCCTACGTGTGGCCGTGATAATGTATTCTTCCAACTGGAGAAGAATGAAACAATAACAATAGTAAATAACGAAAGTTTAACACCTTACATTGCTTTATAACAAAGGGGATTTATTACAGAAACTAACAATTGAATGAAAAAATCACCTTGGTGATAAATGTAAACACAATAAACAATTTTTATTTCCCATTTCAGGATATTTTTTATACTTAGGATGCCTATGAAAGTCAGTTAAAAAATCGATGTTTATTGCATATTTAATACCAGTGTTATGCGAAGTTCTGTTTAAATAATCAAGATGTTGAAAGCCAATGTTTATTTCTCAACTTTACCATTTGCACTGTGAATTCTCAAATACAGATATATTTATTTGAAATTAACTTCTTTGCAAGACAATCCTTGATAACGAAACTCATATTGAATGGAAATCTCAGTATTCTCAGGTTCATGCACAATTTAGCATTCTTGACCCTGTCTTATTATTCTGAGATAATTAAATCATTAATCTGTATCATAAATATGAGTCTAGTTTTAATTTGATATAATATATCGTGACTCGACCATAAATTAAGTGCAAGTATTCTAATCAACCAGTCATCTTGATAGTCTAAATTCTTACAACATTTTTATATATTTTCAGGCCAGTTTTTAGTTTTAATAACGATTTTGCACTTATCAACCAGTACCAATAAATGAAGATGTTAAAACTAACATCTAAAAAATATGTTAAAATTCTGTTCCGCGTGTACTTTAATAGAAGGAGGTATAATTAATTACTAGATGCAATCTATTACGTTAATTCATAGCATAATGCGCTAGGAAAAACTAGCATATGTCATGCCATAAAATTAGATTGTTTTCTGAATGCAATCTTTTTAATCAGGCAAATAGGCAGTACAATATGGCCCATAAATAAACTGGTCGTACAGAATTAAACTTACAGAAAACATCTTTCCACAGGAAAATAGTACAAAAAATTAAACACTAGGGCATATAATATATATGTACATTATTTAAATTCAAAACAATAATTAAAAGAATAATAAAATCAAAGCCAATAAAGCGCAATAACTAAGTGCATAGGGGTGCATGTTAGACACTACCAGATTGACATAGCAAGTTGCAAAATATTCTTTACCAAGCCTGGGCATAGATGGACCGTGCCGGTGAAGCACAGTTATAGCAACTACAGCATCATTTAGGCTTTTTTTATAGTATTGTTAAGAACTGGATGAGAAGTCATAATATACCATATTGTTAAGTTGTCAACTCTTCTGGGATATATATGAAAACATTAATCAAATTTGCATTGGGAAGGTCACTCGCAACCTCTTCATGATAAAAAGTGAAATTGAAATTGACATGTAGGGATATTCAAATACCAAAAATTTTTAGGGAAACATTCTCGATCTGATAGATTCGAGAGTAAAGGATAGAGAGGGTTCACTTCACCCCATAGGAAATAAGGAGTCTTTGAGGGTCTAAAAAGCGTCGCAAACTACGAAAATTGCTATGTATGATACAAAAATATTCTTATTTTTTACATTTAAAGAGGGGTGGGGGATTCCCCTGGATACGCCTCTAATTAGAATAAGAAAATAGAAGCATAAGATTCAGTGTTTTGAGAATACTAATTATTCTACCAGTGCTGATGCAACAGTTAATAATAACATTGGAATAATTACATTGCAGCGCTATCATAGCAGATGAGTGTCTTACAGAAAACGACCATAAAAATTTGACAAGCACATAATGATTTAATAGTCCACACTCAAACACAAACTTGGCAGTAAAGTGAAATTCTGCCAGAAAGGTATTATGAGTGAACACTGAACAGTCCCCAACTTGGCAAAATATTTATGGTATTCCAGAGTAGCTCAAGTGATACAATTTTAAATTAGTCCAAAATCATGAATCCGACCCCTATTAAATATGTCATCTCATCAATAATAAGCAGTATTTAAGCTAAAAGACAGAAAAAAATCCTATAACATTTTTTTATAAAGAATATACACCTAACAACTCCGCCATCTGGGCAGTTCATTTCGCACATATATTGGAAATCAGGCCTTCTTAACCTACTACCTGGTATTTGAAGTTACATTTTGAGTTTTTATTCCAGTCAAATTACTAGGGTTATCAATAACAGAAAAAGGTGGGCTACCTTCCGTGCTACTGAGACTTATACCTAGTCGGATACTCTGATACCCCGAATCTGATGGAGTTACGACACCAGGATTCTCCTCCTGTTTATTTTCCTGCACAGTTATTGTTGGAACATTAAGAAACTGGGACGGAGAAATGATGTTAATGGGTGATGACCTCTCAGGGGTTTCACAGTGATCTTTACTGATGGGTAGGGTGTTGTTATTATTCAGATCAAATATAGGGGGTGAATTGTTACTGTTTTCGCAAGGAAGTATGACTTCGTTACTGACAATACTGACATCTTGTGGAGTTTGGATTGTTTTTACGTAAACAACATCTTGAGATGAAGAAGATATACGAGGACGCTTCGAAAGAGACGAATCATGGGTAACCGATGTCTTAATTACAGAATTATCCCTTGAGGCACTGATTTCTGGCGTTAGAGTATCAGTTACATAAGAAGACCTCATTGAGTTGTTATCTTCCGTTGAGGAGCATGAGGAGGAAGATGAAGTAGAAGGGATGTTGCTTTGCGAAGAATCCTCCTTGATCATCACCAATGATGAAGTTGTGCTCGCCGATTCTCCAGCACCACTAGAGTGTGAAATACTACTCTCATCTGAGCTACTTCTCGTTTCTGTACTTCCGCTGTGTTTGCGTTTCTTTTTTCTTCTTTTCGCTAACGGAGCGTTATTGACTTCCGAAAGCTGGAAACCTTTTCTTGCAACTCGATTTAGAGTTTTGAATGTGACAGCAAATGAGTTTTGCGATCGCGGACTTCCAGGTATTGCACCTGGGCTTAGTAATGGGGTATTCGGGGTGCTTGATCCTGATATCCAAGATGATTTCAAAACATCGCTTATTTTTAACCTTTCTGTTGGATTGACAGTTAACAAACCTGAAAGTAATGTTAGGTAAAATTAATTACATCATAAGAGATTATGCGCTGCTTTAATATTTTTGAACTCACAGCCTAGTATTTTTTCCCTTTCTCAAGCGACTTTTTTGGGTACTCCCTTAGTGTGTGTACCAGGTTAGGGTTAGGCCATAATTTATTCGGATTTTCCTTATTTTAGTTCTATTACGAGTTCAGAGACTGTCTGTGGTAGCCAAAATCTTCAGTACCTTTATACAACTTGATGTAAAGTAGACGAACAAAATTAGTTCATATTGGAAAACACACTTCTGGAGGAATTTTCAAAGGGGGGGAAGTTCTGGAATTCCTAATTGCTAAGTTACACCATATTAGCCAGCGAGATCAGATAACATGGGTTTTCATGCTTCAAAAAATTGCTATGAATGATACAGAAAAAAGCCTTTTTTTACATACCACGGTTCCGAGCCTCAACCCCCTGCCTACGCCCTGGCTATGAGCATCAGCTCAAAATAAATATTTTATAAATAAAGATGAAGAAAACCATTGAAATGCATATACTGTACATGAAATGCACATCACCTTTAACAAGATCTTTCGCTTCAATGGATATATTCTGCCAGGCATCACCATGAAATGAAAATTCTCCTTTCTGTATACTTGACATTATTTCTGCAGCACAAAGATTCTTTCCTTGATTCATGAATGGAATCTCGCCTGAGAGCATGGCATACTGTAATGAAGATAGTTTCATGCATTATGAGAGCAGATTCATATTTTCAAGTTATTTTGAACAATAGGCAAATTTTATTGTTGAAATTGAGCATTATATGAATATAAACAGGTATGCGAAAATCAAAAATTATGAAAGGTGGTTTTTGTTAGTAATGCTATTATTAAAAATTGGGCGCTCCAAAATGTGTGTACCAATATGGAGGTAACTAATTTTGTTCGCCTACTTCACATCAAGTTGTGTAAAGGAACTGAAACAGATTGTCAGGGGGTATATTCACTTGGCTAATACAGACAGTTCCCGGAACTCGTAATCGAACTAAAGTAAGAAAAATTGGAATAAAATTATGGCCCAACCCTAACCTGGCACACACACCAGGAGTTCCAAAAATTGAAGATCAACTCAAATTGTTCAAAAGGGATAAACAATTTTTGGAATTCTGAATTCATTACCTCCTCAACAAAGAGTTCAAAACTTTCTTTTTGAAATAAACAGGTATGCACTCACAAAATTGAAGTAGAGCAATATTCACATTTAAAGTATTTGCTTTCAACTCACCAAAATGACTCCCAAACTCCACAGATCACATGATTCATCATACCCTCCAGTTGGAGATTGGTGTAACGTCATATCGAGTATTTCAGGTGCTGCATATTGTAATGTAAAAACTGGAGTTGTCAATGGTTGCATATTACTTCCACCTTGATTATTAGGACAATTCTGTCTGACTCTTGCAAAACCAAAATCCACCACTTTGACCTGTGAAGAAGTAATTTTTTTAATTTGGAAAAATATAGTTGCTTTTGCATATTTCAACTGGTGTTCTTTCCATAATAGTAATCTGAAATTATGTGTGTGAATGTGCAAGGAGTGCTTCACATAACCATTGCTTGGTTATAACATCAGTCTCAATCCAATCTATTTGGAACATTCAACTATCATATATTTCACTCCACATTGTCTATAACTGAATGCTCCACCATGTCTTTGACAACATGGCGATAGCCTCACCAGAAGCCAGTTGATTGAGTAGTTAATAGGTAGTTGGGTTCGTTAAGACGAACCTGACATCAAGGGGCCACAAGAGCTGTTGTTTAGTATTGAATAAGCTTATCTTATTATATTTTTATCCCGAGAGAAAATGAATCACACCCTATGGAATTTGGCAGTGAGACAAACCTTATATTTATATAACTTTCACTCGGAACAAGCAACTAGTGCTGGGTGAGGAGCTTCTATAGTTTGGAAATACCAGAATCACTCAGGTTTGGCATTGCTTACTCAATTTATTACACTCTGGGTGAGGGAGTAGGCAGATTTAAACATGCAATGCCACTCAAACACTGGGCCACCATGAGTTGAGCTTGCCGGACTAACAAATCAGTGCAATGATAAGCAGTTAGCTTCACAATTAGGTCAAAACATTATCATATCACATCTCAGTCAGTCACGTTATGATTGTTTATAAACAAAAAAAGCTCACATATCTTATTGATTGAATAAGTATATATTATAAAACTTTTCTTGACGTAATTCAACCATAATAAAATTGAATACTTTCTTTCCGATGTGATGCGAATTTAAAAAGTTTGGAGACCTCTAGTTTATTTGATTATTCGTCTAGTCTTCTTGATTTATTATTATTATAAGAGGACAAGTAGTTAGATACACGTGACATCCAAACATTGAATAAATAATGACATACTTGCATATTAGTATTGATGCTACTGCTGGTTCTTCTCAGTCTTCTGTGAGTATTAGATGAATTATTTCCATTTGAGTCATCGCAAGTTGTAAACACAATGTTCTAAAAAAGTACCTCATGTGAAATGCCCATTTTGAAGTTGCTGCGTATTTGCAATAACCTTGCACATAGGCTTGCCCTTGGTCACAAGATATAAAAAATATTTGAATTTTCCATACAAAAAGGTAACAGAAATGAAGAATATGTTTCAGCACATTGTTTGCAAACTGAAAGCTTCATGAGGCCAGTCTATTTTACAGGAAATGCCTTTGAGGTGAACCGATCTGTCGGAAGTCGATTGGCGTTACTGTAATTTCCATGCTAAAATAAGTTATGAGCTTTCATGATTTTGTTACGCACTTAACTTAATTTTGTCTTTCATGAGTTTCAGCGGTCTAATACATAAATTAGTGATCGACAGAATGGCTAATATAAAAATGTATGTAAAACATAATTTTCAATCCTGATAATCTAAATACCGTACATATACTATGCAACAAAGTCATGATTACTGTCAAATTTTGTGAAAAAAAATTTTAATCAAAAAGAGCATATTCTCAAACAAAATACTGTTATTTTAAATATTTGAATTCTTCTATTAATAAAGACGATTATACGAATTTGGGGATATATAGATAATTTCCGAATATTTCATTACATATAAGTACACATTGCAGTAAGAATAAACAAATTAACAAAAATCATGGAATATAATCGGAAGGGTGTGGGCAAGACTTACAACCGACCCCTACAAGGTCGGCCGACCACTTTTCCGTCACTATAGTCCGCCATCAAGCAGAAGTCACTGAAGCCCGAGTCAATAGTCAAGTGTCATTTGAGTCAATCACATAATTATTAAGTCTCACTGGCGTTTGGTTGAGAGTGAGTCCAAGCCATTTCCACTTTGATGACTCGAGTCACTTTTAGTTTTTCGTCAAATAGTGATTCGAGTCCAACTCAAGTCAGATAAATGACTCAAGTTTACACTACACTGAAATATATACCTCGGGTTTTAGGTCCCTGTGAACAACATCCTTAGAATGCATGTGAGCAACAGCAGAAGCAACTTGACGAAGAATTAAACTTGCTTCTGATTCTGTAAAATATCCTCTCTGTCTGATCATTGCAAGTAATTCCCCTCCATCCAACAACTCAAGAACAATGTAACAGTGAAGCTGAATAATAAATAAAGGACTAATATAATAATACCAAAAAGATGTTATTGAATTCAAATTATTTCTGAAGTAAAGAAGTTGGTGCAATTGCAAATAGGTTTTTACATTCCAAATTGCACAATATTATTAATAACTAAATTGGTTACAATAAACTATTGACAGCTTCAATAACTGTGGAAAATAGAAAAAATTAATAAAATGTCATGCATTAATCAATCTTAGTAATGTAAAATTTTATTCCATTTATCACAAAAGAAATTTATGCATGTTCCTAGCTGGACATAATTTTAGGTAAATTATGCAATAACCGATATTTGAAGATTTGGTTTCGATTATTCCTGGCCATCCAGATATCATAGATGCCATCCCCAGTGATTTAATAAATCAAATAATTCGTAGTGACTGCAATTGAAGACAGTTGTTCAACTATGATTGTAAAAAACTATTGACTGAATGATTGGCTATATTACGGTTGAATCCAGGATTAAAATGTCTTTGCATACTGGTATAATATTATTATAAACATAGGATAAAAAGAACATACTTTGTCATAATGAACACTGTGTAGTTTCACAATATTGTCATGTCCCTGACATAAGTCTAACGCTTGTAATTCTTGTTGTGATCTTACATCCCACCTAAGAATTTCAGATAAAGAATTTTATCAATAAACTCAAAAATGAAACGATGCCGAGTTTTGGTACGATAACGTCTTGGTAGAACAACCAAAAGGTCCACTTTGTGTCCAATCAATTTCAAAACTCATTGGTATAATAGTAAAACTGGGCCACTTGCAATGTAACAATAATGCTAGTCAGTGAAATTCAGCATATCATATTATGTATCATGTATTCTATAACAAAATAGGAAGGTTTTAAAATGTTCCAGAATACAAAATATTTAGGTTAAAATGATAAAATTACGGAATAAGAAGAAAATGATGAATATATTTCATTGAGTCGGCGCATCTAAAACAAATAACTGGTTAACTAATCCCATAACAGACGTTGGCTGGTGATCGGCCCAGAGATCATGGTTTACCACACGATTAAGCCATCTTATCACTTTCCTCTCCCGAGATTGGGTAATAACAAAAATTTTCCTATCCTAGTTACACATGGTTAACAGAATAGCATAGGCTTACCTTCTGCTAACAATTTTCACAGCATAATCTCTACCAGTAGACCTCTCAGTACATCGCCTACATATCGAGAAGCTTCCGTCACCAAGAGGTTTTTCGGAAAAGTCGATTGAAAACATTTTAAAAAATTCGGATTCTCCTAGCATGGAAGCAAGCTGATTGGTTGTTGGACGACATGCCTTCTTCGGGGGCTGCATAAGAGCTGCCATGTCTCCATTGAGGGCGTTTTGTTTTCCGAAGATTACAGATGGTGCCATAAAAGAATAACCCTAAAAATATAGATGTATTACATTTTGCAATCGAATTCCGACAATCCCAATAAATAATGTTAGAAACGTTTAAATCAATCTTCTACGTTATGTCCTATAGCAAGGGTCGGCAAACTATCGCCCACTACGCTTCACTGAATTATAGTAACAAAACAGCTGCTTTGACGATTATATTCTTTAACAAAACAAAATTTATTGTGCAGACTAAATTATGATATAACCTAACAAGTATATCATTCACAAGTACTCGTTTAATGAGCTTATAATTTAATTCTGATTAGACAAATGGCAACAAAACGCAGAAAAGTTGATGTGAAGTGCAAGGGATTCAATGTCGCCAAAAATATTCAAATGGAATTTTTTGAGATGCAACGAGGAATTAAATCCATATTTTGTTCGAGAGATGTATCACCGCTTGATTTTTATTATAAAAAGTATCATCCATTTGGTTTTCAACTTTCTAAAAATATGTGCGGCCCGCCAATGACTTGCAACCCTTAATTTTGGCCCGGTGTGACAGAAGTTTGCCGACCCTGTCATAGAGTTTCCATGCACTCGTAAATTTGACATATGACAGTAGTTTAGTCTCGTATCACAATAAAGCATCTTTGTTTTATTATTTCTTGAAGAAAATTCTCCGAGCAAGGTCCAAGCGCACTCACACAGAAATGAAGGAGACTCATCTCCGAGTGAATTTACGAGTTTTCAGTAAAATTATAAGGTCTAACTATTACTGTTATATTATACCTAATACTGAAACTAATATAGTCCGGAAAAGCATGGAATTTCAAAATAACAAGTTGATTCTGAATAATTTGAAAAAAAAACAAGATTTCTATTGCCCTATTTATGACTTTTTAGAATTGAAATTTATTTTATAACTTATATTTAGGTATTAAAATAATCTTAAATAAATCGGAGCCTTTTTTGAAAAAAAAAGATGATTTGAAATTACAATTTTCCGATAGTATGCAAATACTAGTGTAGGGAATTCTGGGTAATATTTGAAGTGAAATTAATACATAATATATCAGATATTCCCTAAGGACGAAATGAAAAAACTTTCAATTCTGCAGAAAGCACCATTTGGCGATCGTAACAAGGAATAAGAATCTTTCAATATACCGGATATTGCTTGTCAATAATGAAATGTTTACATTAATTCAAAAAAAATCTACTAAAAAATATTAAGAAACCAAACATGGGCATATAGTGAATAGGTGGGCTTTATCTCATTGCCATGTTAGGTCATAGAAATTGCTTCCTGAGTAAATTTACTAAGAGCAAATGTAAATTTAGATTGGCAAACATAACCTTGTACCTATAACATTGTCAATTGACATAATGGATCTCAGAGCATAAATGTTCTTCCATTTGGATACATACATCAGGGGTATGCTACCTGTAATACAGGAGGGCCAGATACAAATAACTGCGTGAAACCGTGGGTCACATCTTCATTTAACATAGGCTTTCTAGTAGTAGCAGGCACAAAAATTTGATTATCGATCTTATGACATTAGTTGTGGCTTTGCAGAAGCTCAGATATAGGCTTTGCAACGTGAAGAAATTAGAATTACTCGCACATACTCGATTTAATCAAATTTAAAACTGGTTTCGCAGGCGCACACCTCTTTGCGGCCTCACAATTTTTCTTTGCAGGCCGCATTTGGCGCATGGACTGCAGGTTGCACACCCCTGACATATCAACAGAACAATTTCTGACAGATATCAGTGTCAAAATTATTTGTCAAATTTTAACAGTATTAAAATTGAAATTACAGATCGTTAGTTTGAGTGACTTTAAATTTCAGAGTCATTTTATAATTGATTGCTTGCATTTCAGATTTTTGCACAAAAAACTAACTTTGGCTTGACAAACATTTAAGATCTAAATTCTGAATTAAAACCTAATCTATTGCATGGTTCAAAATTATTTGAAAACTCGCAATTCACTCTCAATGAAAAAAATTTGACAATATTACTCCATTTTCAACTCAAGAAATCAGCCCAAATGCTAAAACGTAAAACACAGCTCCAATTTTCCAAATTATTATAAATTCTCATATCACAAATTTTACTTCACAATGTTATCCCCCCCCCACCCAAAAAAAATAAAGAATAGCAAGTACCTTGAAGGTTCGAGGTGTTATTGCAGGAGTAGGTGCGGGTGAGTACATAGGAGTCATCAATGTGAATTCATCAGCAAAATTACTTGTATCAAGATCATTGGTTATCAGTGGTTTGAATGGTGCAGGGATATCCCTCTTCGCAAGCTTTTCCCAGTCAAGACCCTAGAAAAAAAGTGATGAAGGGGGTTAGACTTAACTATGTTGACATCCGAGGTTGAAATTTCTGATTTAAGTCCTATGACCCTCACACTTCACCCGCAGTAAAATAAATTGGGTAGGCCTTATGCAATGCAGATTTGGAAAGATTTCAGTTTCCAAACTATAGTCCTTTCCTTAACTAGGTCCTTTGTGTCCTTCATGAATTGCGTCTATATGAAATGTAGACGTTGTGTAAACTTAAGGGTGAAATCCAAAACACATGACAAATTGTACAACAAAATCGAATTAAAAAATTTTTTGAAAGACTCTTTGCTAACAAGCGAATTATAATTAACTTGATACACTTTTTCATAGTTATCATAATGACAATCAACTTACGGAAAAGAAAGGATGATTTTTGATATCCAGTATATTTCTAGATCCTAATCTCTTTTTTGGATCTTTCTCCAATAAGCTGTATATCAAATCTTTTGCTTTTGAAGATATCTTTCTTGGTACTGGTGGATTTTTGCTCAATATTCTCCTGAAAATAAAAAAAGATTTGAAAAATAAGTAATTTCACAAAACATAATTAATTGGTTTCTGATTAATAAGCCACTTTCGTCACTCCCAGATTAAATATGAATAATTTTTGAATTCGTGAAATTGCTCATTCCTCAAAGTACAACATTTCCTACTTTTGATTAGGGATGTATAAATCGAATCAGATATCTGAAATTTTGAATGCATTCGAAATCAGGCAATGGAAGATATTCCCATATTCGAAATAAGAAATACTTAGGATATAGAAATAGGATTTACATATTTATCCCGGGGGAGAGAAAAACGATAAGACGGCTTAACCATATGGCGAACCACGGCCTCTCATGCGGTTACCATTCCATGTCGGGTATGGGATTAGTTGGTTATTTGTTTTCGGAAGCATGGACTTGATGGTGGAGGAAGCCTTAATCGACCAGTGGTTACGTGAACCACCCTACGAAGACGAGGAGTCCAGCAATCTTCCATGCTAGTTTGCATGATTTTGCAAGCTATTTGTGAGCTTCAGTTGTATTTCCATAATTTTAATATATATCAATTACCCCAATAAGCATTTAATTTTCCAAGCAATTTCAGTCTACCTACTTTGAAACTTCACTTTGAGAATTCTTTTCTCCTTCTACAGTGAAAGGTGAAGCACCAGTGAGTAACTCATAAGTTAATACGCCAAGACTCCAAAAATCGACAGTATGATCGTGACCTGCTCCACTACTTCGAATAACTTCAGGAGCCATGTATTCGATTGTCCCACAGAAAGAGTAAGCGCGTTCTTCCTAAAAACAATGAAGGTAAACAATATTCATGATAGATTTTGCTCAACAACATTGGTACATAATACTAAATGCTGAAGATATACAGGGTATCCCAAAACAAATGAAACCCATTAATTTGATTATCCATATATATACAGGGTGAACAGACCAAGTGCAGACAAACGCTTTATTGACTTGAGAACTGTCCCGATTTGAAAAGTGCCTGAATCGCTGCCGCTACAGATGTCTTAGTACGGTAAGCTAAATTCTTACAATTAGTCCGAACTATCCTGATTCAAACACTTTTTTTTTTTTTTTAATTCCAAATTAATATTTGTCTACACTTGTTCTGATCACCCTGTATATGCCCAACATTGATTACCATCTATGGGAGAAAGTTTGAATCTACTGAAAGATAATCATTAATTAAAATAATGCCACACTTTATTGCCCTTTGTCGAAGTGGTAGCCACTGATCCACCTATCACCAGCTGATTAAACAATCATGTACATACTGAGGTAGATAATAAACCACATAACCTGATATCCGGATAGACCAGGAATTATAATAGGAACTTTATTAATTCTCCCTTCCGCTGAGGATATTTGAAATATTACTTGGTTTGTATTAAAATATATTAAGTCAAAAAATTTAGAAGTAAAAACAAAACGACTCAGAGATATGTAGCAAGAAGGAAAAATGATCAGTCAACCATTGGAACACTTGACAAAAAACAAAGGGAAAAAATGGGAGAACTCTTTTTATCTACAGTATGACAACATTAATAAAATTTATGGCCTCAGATTTCCAAATTCACTGTGAAAATTTGGCATTCATACATATATAAATAGTATGGCTTAATCAGCAATTCGATGTTTCCGATTTGCAAAAACATAATACATATTTTACCACTGGATTTGTCTGCAATACTTTAACAAAAGGATTATAATGCCGCAGACACTGAAGTTCAAAATAAGTGGAATATTCAAGAAGATTATTCATTCCTGAACAGATTATGAGAATTACTTGCAAATAAACAAGTCTGAAACTTACTTTTTGTATATTGACTTTTTGTATATTTTGTACATAAAATCTTTTATGAATAATTTGACACTGAACGATCTTCTGCCTAAGTGTCATTTATTTCACTTCAATATGATTTTCAAAATTTATGCCCCAGTAACTAATGCTCTTAGTCTTGTCAAATTTACAGTGACACCACCTTAAGCAGGGTAAAATGAATTGGCTAAAACTACCGGTTAGTGTATATGGCTCAACTATATTGCTACGACAAATTAAAGATTCAGTGTTTCAAGTCCCATTTTCATCATTTTAATTAAACAGGGTATAAGGCAGTTTCGAATCAATAAGATTTCCATCTTCCCGAAATTATGATAGTATACTGCGCTCTGCGCATAAATATATTATCATCCAAAGCCTAGTATGTAAACAGAAGTGAAACACCTTAAAAAGATACAATCCCTAAACAAAGGCTATCAATACCAGCATATTATTAAAGAATGAAGATAGCGGAGACAAGAATAAGAAGTCACTTCAGTACTGGCTTTAAAATGCTGTTTTTACCTCAGGTATAATTTCTTTGCTCAATCCAAAATCAGTAAGAACGACATGTCCATCTTTATCCAACAGTATATTTTCAAGCTTTATATCACGATATATAATACCAAGCTAAAAAGTAAATTAAATAAGTTGAAATCATCATAGAGAAAAGAGTAAAAAATACTCTTTGAAAATCATACCAAATAGAGAATCTATGAAATTTATACACAAAAAACTTATTGGAAAGTGGGGCTATGAGTGATTTTAAAAAGTCTGGAAAATAGTTTTTCTTAAACTTATTGAACCAACTGCATTAAAATTTGCAGTAGGTAAGCATCAAAATATCTGTGGCAATTTTTCAGCAATTTTAGTTTTTAGCCTTTAGTTAAGTGTAATGGAAATTTGTTATATGTGATTTAGAATTATTTATCGACTGTTTGTGGCATGTTTCTATAAGAACAATCAAGTTTTGGGTCATTCCAATTCTGCATGGTAGCCCGATTTATTGGATCATTTTTCAGGTACACTGCATGGGGCTTCAGCCCAAGATTTTGCGATTTGAACAGTAAAAAAAGAAATGTTTTAACTACTTTGTATAATCAAGTCACAATCTTACCTTATGCAAATGTTCAAGTGCAAGCAATATCTCTGCAATAAATATTTTCACTTCAGGTTCAGTAAAATGTTCCCTCAAATTGAGATGTGTGAACATTTCTCCACCGTTAACGTAATCTGAATGAAGAAGGGAAAACGTGGATGATTTTTCATGATTTTTCTATTATATATACCGGTACATCTTATTGAATTCATACTCTAATAATTCTGAAGAGATTGATGGAAATAGTTTTTTCTTGAAGTTGAACTAATAAGTATAGATTTCAATTAGATATTAATGAACAATAAATGTAATTGTGTAACTAGCCAGGGATGGAAAGGCAAGAAAGTCTCAATTATACAGTCATGTGATAGCCTTTTTTCTCCAGAAATTAAATGAGTTTTTTTATTATATTGCAAGACTTGAATTGCTAAGGATTATAATTCTTCAAATAGAAAATAATTTAAAATTCAAGCATAACAATTTCAATTTATTGACATGGTAAAAGCCTATTTCAAAGTTACAAATAGGGAGAATAGTACATTCAATAAACCGAACATATAAAAAGATAATTGTGAAAATATTTTGTTCCCTTTATTTGGACATTTTGTTAATGATTAAATGCAAAACTATTATTGAGACATGCCCAACTATGGGCCATTGCTCACGATAACTAAGAACAGTTAGTGACAGGATAAACATATTATGGATCAGATAAACACTAAAATAGCAGCTTGCGGTTTTTAAATATTTTTTATTGGTACTAAATAGTGGATTAAAATTATTGGGATTATGGGATTAATTCATTATTGGGAATGGTAATAAATATGTGTGGAATGTCATCTCAAAGTGCTCCATACGAAGCCCCAGGGCTCTGTGAGAGAAACCTAGGGGATTTGAGAGCTATTTGTTTACTTATTAAAACGCTGAATATTTTTTGAATACAAAGAAGAAAACACATCAGAGTCATTAAATAAAGTAATTTTAGTTTACTCCGGGACATTCATCGGTAAATAACAATGTGTTTTTTGTTATTATTTTTATAAATTTATTGTGGGGCTCCGTAAATAATCGTCAATCACTCCATGGGCTCCATAAAACCCAAAAGTTTGAGAATCCCTGATCTATAAACATATTATAGATGGAAGGTATGCTATAAAAAAAAAATTAGTCCGGTTTTATTATTAGATGTATATTAGTTATTTAATTACTTATTATTCAATATTTATTATTGTCCAATTAGCAATTAAGGATTTCCAATAGATGTATTGGATAAAAAAACTCCCATTTGTTCACAAAGAATTCTTATAGGAAGAAGAATGGCTGTTCTATAAATGATATACAATCGGATGATTTTTAAAATGCCAAGAAAGGCAATATCTAATGATTAGTTTTTATTTGATATAAACAATATTGGCAAACCAGATTTGAGGGAAGCTACTTTGTCTGAATATGACCAACATATTTGGGAAAACTTGCCTTAATCACGATTTCATTGCAAAAAAGCAGACCAAATAATACTATAATAACAGTAGGTTATTTCTTTGATCAGAATTCTTGAAATAAAACTATTAATATGGAATTAATGTTATTAATAACGTACCACAATTATTCGTCGGCACATGTACCTCTTGTGCCACGAGGACAACAATAATTAGTTTTTTTATATGGCGCATTTTGGACAGTGAAAAAGCAGTATTATGCAAATACATCAGCGATAAATAGACACTCATAAATAGATTCCCTCTTGATTGCAGATTTACCTGTAGGATATAATTATTTGACCAGTTATTCCATTTAAATATCGAGTTTACAAGCATTACATGAAATGCATTCATAGCCATTTTTACTTTAGTTAGTAATTAACGATTATCAATTCATATCCTGTTCATAATTGTTATAATTGAAAAATAAATTGATTTAGCTATTTTATTTCTATAAATAGTAAATTTAACTATATTTTTATTTTTGGTTCAAAATTAGAAATTAACCAACCTATATAATCATGGCACCTGACAAAAACAAATAGCGATTATATTGAAACTATAGCGTTCTTAATAACTTTTCCAGTCTTTTGTAAATTCTAAAAGACGAGAATTTCGACCCTGAAAGTCTGTGTATACTCAGCGGACCGACCGCAAATTTATTTAATCTAAATTAAATTGTAACAGAATCGCAATGTATCATGTTAATAAGCTGGCTGAAATTGGTGGGAATACTATTTGGTATTGTAACAAGAAACTTCATTATTTTTTGTTACCAAAAATATACTTTCATATGAAATTACCTGAAATCTGATTGAAATAGAACATGTTTTACCAAATTTGACAATATTCATAATTTCTGAGTGATAAAAGTCAAATTTTGTACAAAAAATCTGGTATTAAAGATCTTACAATGAAACTTTATGAAGGAGGTCTGCCTATATTTTCAAATAAACATAATACTTCGAAATTTTGAAATAAAATACCAGTTTAGATGGCAATAAACTAAGTAACATAATACAAAGGACAGGAAATGGGATGTCCTGTTTAATCACTAAATTTGATCTCTAGACTACAAGACAGATTGTAATTTTACTTATTTATATTTTGTACAAAAATACCAGATTTAGAACAACGGAAGTGACTCTTGTCAGGTGCACGGAAGTATTTCTTGAGTCAACAACAGTCAACAAGGCATTGATAAGAAGAGTTTGTTATTAATAGTTAGGTTATATCATGAGCAGGGATGGCCAATACCGAATAGTTCACTATTTCGAATACATTCGAAATTATTATTTTCGAATATGAAATTTCGAATACTTCGAAAATAAAATCCAGTAATAGAATCTAAGTGTATCAAGGAATTTTCATACAATAAACAATGGAATAACTTCTATCTACAACCTGGCTATATTACCAGGCATTTCATGTTTGCAGATTATTGCGATATATATTTAATATAACATGAGTTGTGTTAATTATCAGAATTAAAATAATACGACAAGGCATTTTAAATAGTGGTATCGGTGATGGATTTGAATGCTTGCGCAACACAAAATCATCCTAGTAAAACGCCCATACTTTTAAATACCAACCTTTATCCAAATTATTTGTCAAAAAGCGGGATAAAGTATGAGTTCTTTTTCAGACTTGTGACAATTTTTTCGTGAGTACAAAAATACGAATCAGAAAGTAATATATTCGGGAACTTTACCACACATTTTAAGTCCGCAGATCGCCGTTGTATGTTTGTGTAATAATACTTTTATTATTTTATAAATACGAAAATAGGGTTCAAAAACTATTTATAATCGGGTAGTTTACCACACATTCAATGTCCACAGATCACCGTTGTATTTTGTAAATGTGGGCATGAAATGTGTGGTAAACTGCCCAATTATAATTAATTTCGGATTCGTATTTACAAAATATTAAAACTATTATAACTCAAAAATACAACGGCGATTTGTGGACTTGAATGTGTAATAAAGTACAAATTATTTTTTCGACTTGTGACAATTTTTTCGAGTACGAAAATAGGAATCAAAAATTATTATCAATCGCGAGTTTGCCTCACAATTTATGTCCACAGAATGCTATGATATTGTGCCCGAATATAATTAATTTTTGATTCTTATTTTCGTACTCGAAAAAATTGTCACAAGTCGGAAAAATAATTTGTACTTTATTACACATTCAAGTCCACAAATCGCCGTTGTATTTTTGAGTTATAATAGATTTAATATTTTGTAAATACGAATCCGAAATTAATTATAATTGGGCAGTTTACCACACATTTCATGCCCACAAATACCCGTGGTATTTGGTATTTATACTTTCATTATCGATACTTTTGACCATCATTATCAAAATTCTTTTCCAGAAAGCGGGTGAAAGTATTTTTCTAATAAATCAACTTGTTTCCCAACTTGTGACAATTTATTGGATATCGTAACAATTACGACTATAAATACCGTATTTCCCGGCTAATAAGTCTACATGGCAAATAGGACGATGTATATTTTTAGCACTCAAAAAAGGGGGTTTTCCATATAGGCCTCCAAGAAGACTGGTAGAAATATTATTCCCTGTTGTTCAGTTATGCTAATATGCGCTAATAATAATGTTTAGAACCAGAACACGTTTGTTTAGTAGAATCATACTCACAGAATTAACTATTTTTAACAATAAAGCGGTAATTTTAAGTTAAAAATCACAATCATTTTGAACAATCTACAATTTTATTGGGTCAGAACAGAACCAGATCATGTTTGTTTGGTAGAACCATACTCACGGAATTAACTATTCTCAACAACGAAGCGGTAAATTTAAATTATAAAGCGGCAATCATTTTGGACAACCTATCAACCCAAATGTTGAAATAATTTTGGAATGTGATAAGTACCACACGGTACGTCCACGGGTTATTTCACAGCTGTGTTTCATGTCCCTGTCGTTTTCTGCTGAATCGGCAAAACCAAAGGGTCATAAATCACTTACTTTATCTCGGTGGCGGTGGCCGTGTTTTCTCTTTTAAGTAACGATAACCGGCCTACGATTAAATATCATGATTGGCAGACCCATAAGAACCAAATATGAGGTTTAACACAAATTATGCTTGAGAAGACTAATGCGAAAAATAAGCAGGCCACATAGAAATAAAATAAACATGCTTTCTCAATAAGGCGCCCCTCCCCCCAAAAAATCAAGCCAAAATTGGGTCAAGAAAAGCGACTTATTAGCCAGGAAATACGGTGATTGTCGATTTTTCGACTAATGGAAATGATTTTGTGAATTAAAAGACGAATGTCGGCAATGTCCACCAACGCAAACGTGCAAATGTGTCGCAACACTATGCAACGTACATTCGCGCTGAATATAAACAATCAAAATGCCGACTCTATTTCAACGTCATTACAATACGTGAGAAAGCGTAAAAAGTCGTTTGAAGATTCCGGTGAAACGAAACACCGTGTTTACGGCGAAAAGTGACTACTATTCGTAATTATTCGGAAATGAGCCGAAAAGGTATTCGAATACCTTGATATTCGAATAATTTCGAATATTCGATTCGTTTTGGACAACCCTGATCATGAGTAAGAATAATATAATTATATTAGGCAATATAGCCAGATGATGGTAATTATTTATTAAATTGATTTTTTTTAGATCAAAATATATTTTTTGGAATTTAGGATGGAATTAAATAAAAAATTGTGATTACCGAGTAATGAGTTTACTCTGATGATTAGTGCGCTGAATCAAACTATAAAAGTGTCACAGTTCGCAAGTTACAGACCTTGGGTTAATCCCCAATGCGCACCATCTTACATAGGGTATAATAAATCAGGTGGGAAATGCCAAATTGAAATGATTCCAACTCTTCTAACAACAGTAGCTCATTTTATATTACGGTAGTAATGGCTTGTACAAAGCCTTGTTTAGAGTAATGGCTCCAAATAAAAATTTCCACTTAACATTTGGCAATTCCACCAGTATATAAGGTTAAGTGCTAAACAACCCCACTTGACCCTATTTCAGTATCTGATCTCATCACAAGTAGGCAACAAAAACATTTTCATAAGACATTGAATCATTATGTGTTATCTGTGTTAGATGGTATATTGCTTTGACACTAATGGATTCAACATTGAATAATACTGGAAACATGAACCGGTTTCCGTTTATTGGGGATTACCCAAGTATGTTTCATTTGCTTTAGACAAGTATTACGCAATAATATGCCACCAATGTTTGTGCGACAGTGTCATATCCATTCATGTAATACGGAAAACACCTCCAGACAATACTATCGAGGTAGAAAACTATTGATTAATGTTTCAAATCACATGATATTTTGATTTAACGGTACTTCATGCTTGATCTGGTTTAAATAACGACTTCAGCTGTGGACGAAATCTTTTCATATCCAAATTCCATAAAATACTACAAATATTCATGACAAGACATACGATAATAACTCATAATAATCCAATCTGGGATTAAAATAAAACAAATGGCCTATATACAATGCCCATTCCCCCAATATTCTTTGTTAAAATTAAAAACTAGGTAAAAAAATTTTAATCCATTTTAGACAATTCTCTTTTGTGCTTTGAAGTCACTTGAACTATACCACAGAATATGCTATTTGAATAGATCAATCACATATTTTCAGACCGGAAAAACGTGAGATTTCATAATTCCAAATTATCTAAAATTGAGGTAAAAAGAGGGCATTGTGATAAAGTTCACGGTGGGACAATCGGGTCAAAATTTTGCCCAACAAGGAATGTAAAGAATGCATGAACTTTGGGTTAGAAACAATTTTCAAAACAAAGTTTATTATTCGTATAACAAGAATGAATCTTAAATAGAAGGCATGCCTTTTTAGAAGATTTATCTATGATCAATAATCCACCAAACTTGGAGTTATTAAATAATTAAGAGGTGAAATAATATACTATCAAAATAAAAAATATTTTCTCCTTTACATCACCCTGGAATGTGCCAGAAGATTTTATCACTAAGACAATCACAAACACTTTTTCTTGGATATAAATAACACCATTAAAACACCAAAAATGGGCATCCATAAAAGATAATAACAAAGGTAATACTCTAGCATAAACAAACTATTTATATTACTAATCACTTCCGTTATTACCATTTATATACATGGTGTTATTAATCCTGTTACAATCTTGTTATGAAGCCAGTCTCACTATATCTTAGAAACCAGTTTTTTTATTTCAATCAGCGGCATTCGAAGTCCTTTTACCTAATTTAATACAAGACTTAAGAATGTACATTTGTGTTACTGGTACATATTTTGGTCTATATTATTAAGATTTGAGCATTTGCAATGCAGAAAATATCATTTAGGAATATGAATTTTAAACAATTTTTTTGATTAAATTCTTTTAGAACAAAATTGAAATTGCATTAAATAAACCCGTTTCAATATATATACTAGAGCAGGGGTTCTCAAACTTTTTGTGTTGCGGAGCCCTTGAAAAAGTTGACTATTATTCACGGAGCCTCAAAATGAATGTTAAAATTGTTACTTTCCGAATAATATTTCTGAGTAAGTCAAAAGTAATGTACTTATTTTAAATGCTTAATCTCTTTTAATAGGGTTAATACAAGTCATAAATGAATCTAAATGTAAAAGATGAATTATATATACTAAAGCTGTAAACTTGATACTTGACAAACATATTAATAAATTAGGGGTCGGATCTTTTACCTTTAGATATTTTTGAAAGACTTAAAAGGCCGCTAATAACGTACTCGATTGCATTTTGTTACGATCGCCGATTGTTTTCGTCAGCATGGCGGTGTTTATTCTCCCTAAATCAAAAATTTTCCTCGACATATACATGTATGATGTATTGTTCCACAATGACGACGAGTATTGCTTTTTTGTTCTCGTGGGGAATTATGAGTTCAATGTGAAAAACATGTTACCATATTATAGTCACCGGAGACGAAATGCTAAAAATAATAAATAATAAAAGGTAAATCCGCAACTCAAATTTCTCGATTGAAAAGCGGCATACTGAAATATTAAAACTAAAACTTAAAATGGGAGATAACACTATAAGTTTTGTTTCAGCAGACTCACGTCAGATTAAAAACACGTTCATAGACATTGTGAATCAAAAATTTGGTGTTATGTTGGGTTTTCTTTGGTTATTCGTCTTAGTAACTGCGAAACCGAAACACAGTCAATTGTGCGCGATGTACCTATTTTTCCATTCTGAAACTACCGACGGAGCCGCATGCAATGAAATAAATTTCCATCTTTCGTATTTTGCCCCGACCTCTTGTTTTGTAAACGGCGACATCTTGCTCGTGAGTGCGAAAGAACAAAACCAAGCTTGACAAATCCCAAGATCGCAAAAATACGACTTCAATTTATGTATAGTTGGCAGTTTTTCGCGTATTTTATGTTATTTCAGAATAGTAGTCTTTCATTTCAGTAATCCTAATAGTAAAATTAGCCAATTCAGTATTTTAAAAAGTAGTCGAATAGCTTGCGGAGCCCCTGGGTTTCTCTCACGGAGCCCTGGGGCTCCGTACGGAGCACTTTGAGAACCTATGTACTAGAGCTTCAGGCTAGGAAATAACCAAAATAATAATATAACAATATGTAGTTTTGTTTAAATCTTGATCAGGCATGGTACGTTATGCTAGGACCAGTGCCGTAAATAACATTTTCAAATAGGTGTAGAATTTGTTTATTTGATCATGTTATTACCATCAAATATATAGATTGTTGAGTCATGTGCTTACCACCATAATATTGTGACTCACCGGAACTTAGACTACCTACGAGTTCATTTGATAACATATAAAAAATTTGTTTTACTCCACTGAGGTATAGCATGATGAAAACAAAAATAGGCAAATGACATTTTTCAAATGTTTTTAATCGGCTTTTGTGTAAGATTAATCAAAATAATAGTCTGAACAAGCAATTTGATTACCTTTGAATTAGTAATTCTTATAAAATGCCGCGGTTGCATACCTTCATTTCAATCACTTTTTAAACGAAATTTATGAATATCTCTACTTAGAATCAGAAGATAAAACATTCTCTCCTATAGTTTGAAAGCTAAAATTATTGAAATTCACCAAAATAATAAACATAAAATTAGTTATAACTGTATTCTTTTGATTCACAAATAAAAAAAATCAGCGAAGGAAATAAAATTGGACTTTAAATTAGTTCCATTTTTATATCAAACCACAAAAAGAACAAGCTAGCATAAATGATAAAATTAGACTCAGAATAAGTTTCACGCCTAGACAATCGTCCCTTTCTCCATAAGATGAAATAAACAACTGACATACCCAGAATAAGATGAAGTCTTGAGTTTGTCTGGAAAGCGTAATGCAATGTGACAAGGAAAGGTGACTGTCGTACGGCTTCCAAAACCTGGGGGAATAAAAGTCAAAATAGTATTACCTGTTGAAAAGACAAAAACATAACATAAACTTGCTCGATTTATTTTCACATAGTTTTGACATATTGAACAACTGAGGCTGCAGTTATAAGCCTTTCAAAATGTAGAAATATAGAATTTCTAAGATTTTTTTTGACAGGACTCTCTCTCCAATGCAATGAAAATATATACCGTAACTGAAATGTTTTGAGGTTCGAATCAGCAATAAATTTAAAAAGTATGATCTGAAACATTACCAATTCCATACTCTGATACAAAACCTAATATCATGTATTTCTGCCCTGATTTCTTTCTAAGTAACAGAAGTTCAGAAGCAAATTTAGAAGACGACCACTAAGTCTTCACTTCAGATGTGGGCTGCGACGAAAGCAAGATACATCATTTATATGATATCCAATTGAGCATAACATGATTAAAACTACTAATTATGTAAACAAATTTAAACAAGAACATAAAATTGTTTCATTATAGGATTCATTGAAAAATAGCAAGACTGCACATGCAAATTTCATCATTAACTAGTCTCTAAAGAAGACGTAATCGATGCAGAAATATTTTTTACCTATGGCCGTGCCAGATCAAGAATTGGTTAGCATTTAAATATACTTGTGCATCTCAAGCATGGGTGGTGGATAGAGCTGTAAGCAACCACCCTGCATCAGTTTGGAGGACTGTGTAATTTCTTTTAATTAAGGCTTTAAGACCAATTAGTCAACTCAACAGTCAAGCTAGGTATGGCTAGAATGCGAGACATAATGGCTAAACTAAAGACTAATAATTGTGTTATTTTTCCTTCATTATCAATTACTGGTATGTGATTTCTTTTGGTATTAACATTACCTGTCTTTCTGTCATAGTATGTTCTGTAGTCTTTGGTTTTGTAATAATTGTTGCCTTTTTTAACACTTTCATTGCATACAATACTCCGGCATCATGACCACAAATTTTTCTCACCAAAAATACTTTTCCATAAGCTGTAAATGAATGACATTCGTTGTAGTTGGCAAATGGTATGAACTTGAAAGCGGACGAGAGGCCGTACAATTAAGCCATCTTATTGGCTCAGCTTTTCTTCATGGATGAATATAAAAGTACTATCTTAGGACGAGAGGCCATACAATTAAGCCATCTTATTGGCTTAGCTTTTTCTCATGGACGAATATAAAAGTACTATCTGAGGATGTTAGCTAAATTTATTCCACCATTCTGACTCTTTGCAAATAACTGAGGATATCTTTGTTAAAAATAAATAAAACTAATAATAAATGAATTGAAAAAGTTACCAATTACAGTCATCCATATGTAACTTTGGTCAAATTTGGCAAAAGCAGATATAATCATTTATTGATATGTTTCCATATTACATCCATATATGTGTATTATTAATGCATGATGGAAGAGAACTTTAATTAACCCCATTCAGCGGTTCCAAATTTTTTAGGGTTTGTGACCCCCTCCGAATCCCATAATAATTAAACAAATCATGTTCAACGAAGTGAAAACACCCTGTAAAATAACCTTATCAAGCAATGAAACTAGGAAGAATGATAAGTTTCCTGTAAAGTGAAAGCAAAACAAATAGCATTGTGCCCCCCCCCCCCCCCCCTCCAACTGCTCTGTGGCTCCCGGTTGGGAACCGCTGGATTAGTTAATCACGATAGCAAAAACCCATACCTCCAGTGCCAAGGACTTTCAAAAGTTCAAAGTTTTCAAGGCCGACTTTCTCTCCATGACCTGTAAGGTTTGCTAAATATAAAAACATAGCATTATTCAATAAAATAAGAAAACAACTAAAAAAAATGTCACAAATCCAAGAAAAACCTGGTAAATTACTGAAATTTTTCAAAAACCTGAGCATGAAATATTTAAAATGGAACTCATTATTTCTGATAAAGTATTAATGCCACTTACCATCAGTTATGTCGTGAACTTTTCTTTTTGGTTCTTCTGCATCAACCATCTGCCCTGCCATCTTAGGACAGATTTTGAAACTAATTAATAACTTATTATTAACAAACTATCAGTTAATTGTACCTTCCAAACAATAAAGTCAAATTAATTTCTAATCCATAATGGCTGAAATAATAGACTGAAACGCTGAAACAGTGGTATTGAAGTTTTTAGACCGAAAAAAATGCAAAACCATGATGTTTAAAAAATTGACACTTTCAAATCTCAATTATCTAAACTTTTAAGATTAAACTTTAAAAAAAAATTTTCAAAATTTTTCCAAGTCATATAAAAGCAGCAAACAACACAGCAGGATCATAAGTCTAATTAAGCAGCAGCAGCCCTAGCATAGGAGTTCAATATTGAATAATTTAACAAATGTTCCATACACCATGTACCGGTAGGCTACTTTATGGATGAACTGTATATAATACTAGCATACTTTACATCTTTGAAATAAAATAGCCTACCTTTTTTATATGAAACATTGTTTCGAATAAAGTGAGCATGGACCTATTCAAATGAATTTTGTATGATTCACTATAAAAAGGGTATTACACTCTACAAAATGGTAATTTATAATAATGTAAAGTTAAAAAAAGACTAATAACTTCCCAAGTACCCTTCGTTGAAAATTGATTGAACAAATATACAAGTAACCTAGTCAAAAACTAGTCAAAAACAAAAGACATGTATAAATTGAGAAAAAGATAAACAGACATACACTCTAATAAAATCAACTAATTTTATCTCCATCCTAACCATGACTAGTACAATCCCCTAGACCCATTTAAATAACACAGATAATCCTATAAACTGAGCCGCTGCATGCAATTATAGCACAAAATGCGGAGGCCAGACAGACATAATATTCCGAAAATGATAGATATGTACGACCCTCGGGCACAGAATGAACTCATATGATTTTGATTGATTTTGTACTGCAAGAACGAATAGGAATGCATAACTTATATTTGCAGCAATGAAATACCCGAGATAGTTAAAACTATTGACTAATGCAATAATAATATGAGTTATTTTGGCCAATCCTGACTCATTACGAATCAAATTAACAAAATTATAACTAAACAGTTGCCAATCATAATAATAAGAAATGTAATATAGAAAAGAATTGGAGCCACCAATTTAAATAGTGATATGTATATTAGAGTTTAAGGAGTAATTTTTCTATAGAATAAAATTTCCCAATATCACAACTTTTTCAAGTCAAGTTTGTAAACAATAATTCTACCAAAGAAATCTGTACTTTTTTGAAAAATCAATTTTAAAGAGGACACCGATTGATTTTCAGTAAAAGATAATTCAAAATTTTGTAAGGAATTAATATCATCAGGATAAAATGAGATATTTTCTACTAAGCATGTTCCATTATAAGCTTCCAATATACAATCTTTCCCACAAAACCCACCCTGGAATTGTAGAGAGACGCAAAAGCCACTCAAAGTTTGAGGGTCTTCAAAGGCTAAATTAATCCACTGTGGAAGTCCTTGATCTGAATTCCAACACGTGTCATCATCACCATCAAATAAATGTTTTTTTCCAAATTGTTTGACATCTCGATTCAAGACAGAACTGACTCTGATTTGGCTAATTGCATTCTTTAAGCTCATCTTGTTTTCGATTGGAATTCAAAACTACCAAAAAGAAACCAAATATAAGATATTTTGTTTCAAGTGACAGTCTTTAATAATAACTTGTCAATTATCTCAATTTTATTCCGTCAATTGCTTTGATTTCTCAAGTCAATTGATGGAATCCAACATGCATAAAGAAACGCCAGTTATTATAAAAATCATTCCAAGAATTGTCTTCGGTTGATACTTCTCTCCCGCTACTAATCTTCCAGTCAGCGTTGTAATGACTAAAGTGAGAGAATTAACGACAGGAACACCGATTGATATATGGATAGTTTTCAGTGCATAAAAGTACGCTACGGACCCCAACTGGTTGATGAGAAATGGGAGAAAACACTTCCAATGAGAAATGATAAATACCAATTTCAAAAAAATTTCATTCAACTTGTTCCTTGAATGTACATTTTCAATTCCGCTACTACCTTGTTTTAATAATGGATTTGTTATTCCCCACAATACTGATGGCAAGAGTAAGGAAATTAACTGTTCAATTTGCATACCTAAAAAAAGATTACATACAAATAAGTTAGACAAATAAGCACCATCAAGCAATGAGAAATATTTATCGAATGATGGGAAAACTGAGAAAATGAATTCAGAAGACTGCAACTATAGACTTATTTTTCAAAACAACCTCTTGTGCCATTTTTAATCAAGATAATATTGAACCACGAAATGTTTGCTCGAATTCGGTGGTTTGGCAAAGAATGAATGACAATATTCAGTTGTGAAAAATTTCATATTTCTTTTAGCTTTTCGAGTTCCGCTAGTGAAGAAGATTTCATGGCGATCAAAAATACACTAGATGCTAATATTTCTTCAAAATTCATAATATACATTTTAATTACCGGTATGATCTGCGATTAAAAACATACCGCAAATGTATAGAATTGTGAATGCTGAAATCCCAAGAGCTAACTAAGCAAGGGACAAAATCAGTCATCATCACCCAGTCATTTATTACCCATCATAATATTGTTGATGTTATTAATTAGTTTTCACATTATTGAGCAAAATTATTGTTTCAAATGCTGATCACATCATTCTCATAATAGATTCAGAATAAATTCTTCATAATTTGCTCATTTTTTTCTTTTATTTTCTATTTCTTTCAATCGTTCCATTTCTATTTTGTAATTTTGAACTTTTTAACCAACTGTTCTGCTTCTTGTCGTTCTTTTTTAGTTGTTTAAATTTCTTTATAATGTTCATTGAATTTTCCAATTGTTTTTGAACACTTGAATCATGTTTAACCATAGTAGGAATATTGAAAAATTTTTGCACAGCTTCACGATAAAACAATTGAACAAGCAAATATGAAAACACATTACTTGTTATCCAGAATATAAAAATCGCTGAGGGTTGGTAAATCAGAAAGGGTAATCCTATAACAGGCGTCCACATAAGAATTTTACGAATTCCTTTGATTTCTCCTGCCGGACCTAATTCTGATGCTGCTGCTCCGGATCTTATTATGGCCGCCATTGACAAGCATGAAAGTACAGGCAAAATCATATATGGATCAGAGATGCTCAAATTTTGAAACCAGAGAATACCACCATTGACAAGGCTCGGAACATGAGCCTCACACATTTGACGCAATCCAATAAACATGGAAGAGAAGAAAATCATATTAGGTATATTTATGATTAAAGGCTTTAGAGGGTTAATATTATTTTTTTGTAGAAATGTCTGGTATTCAATATGACACTTTTTCATTATAAACTTATTTTTTCTGCCGCAGCTTTTTGCATAGCTTGCTGTAATTTGAATGACTCAGGAAAAAGGTTATTTGACCGTACAGAAAATCGTCTCATATTAACATAACAAGGCAGTGCTAAAGTCCGTATTACAAGAGTCACAATTGCAATGGCCGGTATCCATTCTAACCCCACCGTTGTATTCAGATATTCAAAAATGTCTTGCAGTAATTTGTGAGGCAATATAGATCCCCCTAATCCAAGATCAGCGAAAGTTGTAGCATCAGGTACACTTTCCAACATATCAAAACTTAGTTCGCTTGAAACACCATCTACATCAGGAAGTAGATTTTGATTTGAAGAAATGTCATCAACATTTGATGACAATGTACTGCTATTCAATGTCTGATCAGAAACAGTTTGATTGTTTGAAACATCAATGAAAACATTTTCCTCCTGTTTAACATTGACATCTTTTGTCTCGCCCCAGAAGTTGAAGACGTTATTTTTCAAATTCGATACAGAAAAGTTGCGACTCTGATTGCTTGGGACATTTGTCTTGGCATACAAAATCGGTAATGGTGAATGAAAATAGTGTCCTTCAGATGCAACATGAGCCCTATTTTGAAATAATAAATGCCTAGAAGCACAACTTCTCGAAAAAATAATTCTAGGAATCATATTTTGGTACCTATATCTAACATAAACATAGAAAAACAAAGTTGTAAAAAAGCAGAACAAAATACAAGGTAGTCGCTAGAAAAGCAGAAAATTTGACGGTCATATGACATCATGAAGTAAATGTGTGCTTACTCATTTCTTTTATGAAACGTTTCATTATTTCTTTCAGGTTCTAGGTTATTTTACAGTTTTAGGTTGATAACCTCCAGGTACTTACTACTAGGTTAAGACACAGCTCTAAAATGCACGGACAACATTTTGAGCATCTATGAGTGTAACATAACATATGCCTTTGAAGAACTTTATTGCCATTTTTTGTGTGACCCTCAAGGAGATGTGAAACAATGTTGTATTGTATCCACATGCAATAGGTACGGTACTGTACCGTATACTATCAATCCAAAATTTGAGCTTGCATATTTAGATATTGTATATTAACACATCAAACAGAGGCTTGGCAGGAGACAAACTCACACACAACTGCACAACTGGCATTACCACTCAACACTTTGTGCTTTTGGCTCCAAAGTCACTTCCTGCCTATTCTTCCTGCCTATTCACTTTCTGCCTATTCTATTCACTTCCTATCTATTTTGGGCTTACAAGCATCAAACAAAGTTAGGTTATTAAAATAAATTACCTACCGGTATATTATGATATAGGATAGGATATTATTCAATCAATCATTGAACAACACAAAAACTGGACAAACAAACAAAGTGCAGAGATACCTAGAAGGCGAGCATAACTTAAAATAAAGTTAAAAAACGTAAAAGTACGCGCCCGCCCACCAACCCTGTTTATCCAGTATTTCTGTACCGGTACAGGTACGGTATTTACCGTAATATGCACATATTCTGTCATCGGACATACAGACATAAGATTACCAATTAGCCTACAACCGGCGTCTTTGCTACTGTGCGCACAAACTGACAAATCTAAAAAATGGCTATGTCCCTACTAAAATGGCTACCGGTATACATGTAACGTTATCGACACCGAACGGCTACCGGTATGTCTACTGATTACTTGATTAAGGTACAGCTACCGGTATGTCCCTACTAAAATGGCTATGCATGTAACGTTATCGACTATCGATACCGAATGGCTACGTCTACTGATTACAGGATTACGGTACGGCTATGTCCCTACTAAAATGCCTATATCCAGTACCGATACGGCGGTACGGTATACGGTACCGTATAGCAGGGCTGCTCCACTGGCGGACCGCGGTCCGAATCCGGACCTTTCGAATCATTAGCCCCACTTTTAATGTTTCCCTTTACAAAATGACTTTTATTGTTTTGATTTTGAATATATCGGCATATGAAAGAACGGCACGGCGGCGGTGTGGCTCAACGGGCTAAGCGTTAGGAATACGCTAGCCACCGCACCTCTAATTACTTTGCGTGGGTTCGCAGGTTCGAATCCCATGCAGGGATGGTTATGTGCGAGAGGATTGCCGGACTCCTCGCCGTCGTTGGGTGGTTCACGTAACCGCTGGTCGGTTACGGCTTCCTCCACCACCAAGTCCATGCTTCCGAAAACAAACAATATAACTAATCCCATACCCGACTTGGAATGGTAACATGAGGAGAGGCCGTGGTTCGCCATATGGATAAGCCGTCTTATCGGCTTTCCTCTCCTCCGGGATAAATATGTAAATCCTATCCTATCCTAACTATAACACCAATATTCAAAGATTCATGCTGTCTTTTAATCATGCGTTTTTTACTTGTTTTGTAATTTGTTAAATTGTTTGTGAATTTGCGTGTTTCTAAAAGCAAACGATGTGTCCTATAGCTTTCTACTCATTCGGATTTGTGCTATACACAACCAAGAATTTCACATAGTATTTGAAGTCTTCAACATCGGCTTTATTTATATATTAATTCTGGTGATCTCCCAATAAATCCTAATTGAATACCAACATGTGCTTAAAATTTTCATTACCCAAAGACTAAGAAGTTGTCAGGAGTTTATTACATTCAATTATCTACTTCAATTTGCTGTTTTTGTTAAATTGCTTTCAAAGTACTGCACGATTCTAATTCCGTTTTTCTGTGTTTGTTTTATTTATTTTTTGGTGGGCGGGCACGTATGCTACATTGTACGCTTTTTAACTTTATTTTATGCCATCTCCCAGGTATCTCTGCATTTTGTTTTGTCCGTTTACTTTTTGTATTGTTTATGTCAGAGAACCAAAATAAATTGATTGAATAAACAATCTTGATTAGTGTAGAAGCTTGACGGGGTGTGACCTTATGCACCCTGCTTGCTACACAAAGACGAAGGGCGCTGAACCGTGCGCCAATATTTTCCAGTCTAAACGCTCTAGTAGTCTATCCCAATACAGCAATATCAGTCTATGTTCGGTCCAGACAATCCTCTCCAAATTATCCCTGCCTTATAACTGAGATAAGCAAGCTGAAGTCCACAAGCCCACAATACACAACTTCAAACACAGGAGAATTGTAATATGTAGTGGAAATATCAAGCACTTGCTCAGCATAAATTATAAAATCGAGATGTCAGATGGAGCCAAATAGATCACGGAAACAGATGACGAATACAGATAGATTGAGTTGAGATAGAGAGAGAGAGAGAGGTTTTCTAAAGAAAACAAAATACACTATAAATACTATGAATTTGCCGCATAAATAACCAACATGCAATCAAATTATATCGCTTACCGACTGTTTTTAGCCAAGGTCAACAATATATCGAATCTTTTATGTAACTGCAGAACACTGAAATAAACACGAACAAATAAGCACTACAGTAACAGTACTTAACCCTACAGCATTAATTGTGGCAATAAATATAATACCAACAGTATGTCATCCAAATAGGACTACTACATAACAAGCCAAATGAAATGAAATACAGAAAACTCACCAAGAATTGTTCACAAAACAATCAAAACGCAGGACAGATTCACAAATTGCAGTTCAATAATCCAGAGTTCAATGCAGCAAATTTTAAACTATTAGCAAGTTAAATAAGCATGAAACAAAGAAAACCATAATTAGCCCACTATAATAATATGATACAGCTTTCCTAACGATAAATCGCCATAGAAGTAACGCATTGCAACAGCAAACTAGCTGTGCACATTTATAATTTCGGCTCTAACGCCAGGCGATACAATAACGATGTAAACACGCAAATTGCAGTAGACAGAAACCTTCTCGGCTCGGTCTACAGATAATAAAGAAACACATCAAATGCGAGTAATGAATTGAGACGTTTGCGACGTTGACAAACGAAAAGATGCAAACGTGTCAGCAATAAAGAAATAGACACTACCGGCGCTGGAGATCTAACATTCCCCCCACAAATTTATGTACATAGGAAATAAATTTCAAAACACAACATGATCTCCAAGCCTCAATAGTCATTTAGTGCCTTCAACAACAAGAACTAGCTTGGTGATGGGACGCTTTACCAAGCTATTACGAATTTTAACAAGCACTGTTCGTATCAGTCCCTTCTTGTCTGGATACACATCCACGATTCTTCCCATTGCCCATCTTGATCGAGGTTGAGAATCGTCTACCACCAGGACAACATCTTCTTTCTTGAAATTTCTCTCTTTCTGAAACCACTTGTGTCGCTCAATAATCGTAGGCAGATACTCTCGAATCCATCTTCTCCAAAATTCATTTGCGAGATATTGAGATTGTGCCCATCGACGTTTAACATAGCAATCATTCTTGTCAAAAACTCCAGGAGGCACATTTTGATTTGACCGAAGTAATAACAAGTGATTCGGCGTTAAAGGCTCTTCATCCCGTGGGTCAAATGTTACAGGAATTATTGGACGACTGTTCAAGCATGATTCACACTCGATCAAGGCGGTCCTAAAAACTTCATCTGTCATAGTTTGACCCTGAGTAACAGCATTGAAAATTCGACGAATTGACCGAATCATTCGTTCCCATGCACCTCCATGATTTGAACCTGTAGGCGGTGATTTATGCCATGTTATCCCCTTTTGACGTAAGTATCCATGAATTTGAGAATCATTCCATATCTTCAAGGAATTTTCAAGTATTTTCTCTGCCAATACAAAATTACCAGCATTGTCCGAATATATATGAGTACAATGACCCCTTCGAGCAATAAATCGTCGGAGTGCACATATGAAAGAATCAGCAGACAAACTATTTACCACCTCGATGTGAACAGCACGAGTTGTCATACACGAGAACACACAACCCCATCTTTTCACATCACTCCTTCCCTGTCGAACAAGAAAATGTCCAAATAGATCAACACCAACATGACTGAACACTGGTTCATCCGATTTCAGTCGACAGGAAGGTAGATCTGCCATAAATTGTTTTCCAGGGCGGGCATTTCGCTTTCGACAAGAAACACAATTTCCGATGACCCTTCTTACTGCAACTCCACCTTTGATAATCCAGTACTTTTCTCTTAATGAGGTCCATGTATGACCCATACCTGAATGACCAACTTTGTTGTGATGATCCCTGATGACTAGATCCGTAAGATGTGATTTATGAGGCAATATGATGGGATGCTTTGATGAATGCATAATTGGTGCATTTTCCAAGCGTCCTCCTACTTTCATCAAACCATCTTCTAGAACAGGATTAAGTTTCAACATCCGGCGAGAGCAATCACCTTTACTGATAAATTTACCATTTAATATACATTTCATTTCTTCACGAAAGCTTTGTCTTTGAACATATTCAATAATAACTCTTTCAGCATAGCTCAGTTCCTGCACAGTCAGTCTTGCTGGCAGTTCAGTAAGCTTGTCTATTGACTTCTTATGAGAACACAAATATTTCTTGAATCGTATGAGCCAACAAGTTGCTTTCTTCAAACGGTAGAATGTAGAAAAGAATCCTATGAACCTGTCCATGACAGAAGACTCTTCCTTTATTACAAATGCCGACTTTATTTCTGGAACTGGCTTTGGACAAAATTCAGACGGTGGATCAGGAAAACAGTCCGGCATCTTTGGCCACTTGTCTTCAGAAAGACGCAAAAACTCGGGCCCATTGATCCATCGTCCTGACTTTAAATATGCATCAACTCTAAGACCACGCGAAGCATCATCAGCTGGATTCATCTTCGTTGGAACATGGCGCCACTGTGATACATCAGTATTTCTATCAATTTTTGCTAAACGATTAGCAACAAATGTGGAGAATCGTTTCTTCGAATTTCTTATACTTTGAAGTACGGCTGTGGAATCAGTCCAGAAAGTTGAACTGCATTCATTCATCTTCAGTTCTTTCCTTAGGACAAGATTCAACTTTACAGCGAGAACTGCAGCTGTTAATTCAAGTCTGGGTATAGTTACACGAGAACATGGAGCAAGTCTTGCCTTTCCAACCAAAAATGCCACATGAATTTGGCCATTTTTATCGATTATTCGTAGATATGAAACAGCTCCATATGCAATTCTGATCCATCAGCAAAGTGATGTAGTTCATAGGAAACAACTTTTCAAAATCAAATGGCTGATAGCATCGCTGTATCTTCACCTGTTCTAAGCTTTGCAGTTGATGTAGCCAGTTTCGCCATTTAACAGCATCATCATCTGCAATTTCTTGATCCCATCCCAAATTTTGCTTGCAAAGTTCTTGCAACAATAACTTGGCAAGTAGCGTTATTGGAGCCGCTATACCAAGTGGGTCAAAAACAGATGCTACAATTGAAAGTATACCTCTCCTGGTATTTGGTTTGTCAGCAATATTAACCTTGAACCCAAACTCATCATTTGCCACATTCCACTGAATACCAAGAACTCGTTCTTTGACATTGCCATCAATGACATGATTTTGAACACATTTAGCTCTCTTTTCTTCTGGAATCATAGACAGTAATTCATCATTATTGGTGAGCCATTTAGTCAAGTTGAATCCTCCTTTTGACATCAATTGTGTCAATTCCTTGACAATCTCTATGCCTTCATCGACCGATTCAGCAGTTGTCAAGCAGTCATCGACATAGAAATCTTCATTAACAATTTCTGAAATTCTAGGTTTGTGTTCGTTTCCAAATTTCACCGCCGTCTGTTTCAAACAAAATGCAGCACAAGACGGACTCGATGCAGCCCCAAATATATGAACTCGCATACGATGTGGAACGGGTTCCTTTGAAATGTCCCCGTCATCCCACCATAAAAACCTTAGTGCATCCGTGTCCTGAGGTGCCACTCTAACCTGGTGGAACATTGCTTCCACATCTGCCACTCGTCCCCTGCGAAATCTCAAAATTACACCCACGAGTGACGATACCAAATCTGGTCCGGACATTAAGCAATCATTCAGAGACACATTTCCATATTTGGCTGCAGCATCAAAAACTACACGAACTTTTCCAGGCTTATGCTGGTTCATGACAGGAAAATGAGGAAGATACCAAACTGTATTAGACGTATCAATTTCGGCATATGAAATTCTTTTGGCATATCCTGCCTTGATATATCCTTGAATAACTTCGACATACCTTTTATGCAAATCGGAATCTCTCATCAGTCTATTTTTGAGGCTACGAAGTCTTTTCTTCGCCATCTCTTTGTTATCCGGTAGATCCTGCATCCCGGTTCTCCATGGCAAAGGAAGTTGAAAATGACCACCAATATGTTTCACCGAATTTTGCATAATTTCATACACTGCTCGATCTTCTCGAGAATTTGGAATATCAAGAACTGAAGTTTCATTGCCAAAATCTGTTGTCCACAAAGTTTCAATTTCCTTTTGTGTTTCCAAATCATTACACTTGACGAAATTGACATAATGATCAGATGCAAAATGAACTTCTCTGAGATCTGATGGCGACTCAAAACTGGGTCCGAACAGCGACCAGCCAAGAACAGTCTTCACTGCCTTAGGTGCTTTCCTCGGTCCATTTCGAACATCTTGGAAACAGACGAGTTCCGCATTGCCAGCCCCAATCAGAAGATTCACTGTTCCTCCTTCCAAGATAGGCAATCTTACATCTTGAAGATGCGGCATGATTTTAAGGAACCTTTCGTCGGGCGCTTTATTCGGCTTAGCAGGAATTTTTTCAACCGAGAGCACATCTGTGATTTCATGTTCAGCACCACCATCTAGCGGCGATACAACTAAACTGCCAGATATACCCTTGTATTGTATTGGCCTCTGTCCAATTGTGCGTAATGTGATATCTCTAGTATTTCCTGTTACTTCGAGATATTCCATCAAACGTTCACTACACAGAGTAACTGTAGATGCCGGATCCAGCAAGGCGTATGTTTGAGCGGTCTTTTCACCATTTCGAACATTGACCGGCACCACACATAAATAAACATCTTGCCCGATACTTTTCCCATTGCACTTTGACGACTTTGCCAATGAATATACAGCAGGTCCCTCTTCAGGCTTTTTCGATTTCTCCTGAATTTCAATAAATCTATGAAGCAGTGTGTGATGTCGATTTCCTTTACATCCATGTACTTTGCACTGACTGGCCTTCTTGCAATTACGAGCAAGATGACCATGAGACAGACACTTGAAACACAATTTCTGCTCCTTCAAAAGACTGACCTTTTCTTCATGCGATTTACTCTTGAAGTCCGGGCAGTTCCACAAATTGTGCGGTTTGAGACAACATACACATCCCAAATCCCGTTTTTGATCAATGTGTTCCCTTTTGGCCTCAGCATCAATATTATAGGTTGCAGCTCTGTTTCTCCTCACACTCACAGGAATCTTTTTGTGACGAATCTCATTAAGCTTTTTCCCATACATTGAATTTTTACATCCGCCCAATTACAAACATAATCGACCAAGTGACAATATTTTGCCTGACGACCAGTCTTTCTTTGAATTCTGAGGGCTTCATGTGGCCAGCCATCCTGAACATCTTCAGGAAGTTTAGCCATCAGCATTCCCATAGTGTCCAGGGTGTTTACATTTGCAAATTCATCAATGTCTTCTAGAGTTCCCAGGCATCGCTCCATTACTTGTGATATTTGCAATAGCTGCTCTGGCTTGTCATCACGCACACTTGGAAACTCTTTTAGAACTCTTTCACATGCACCAGCGATAATATGAGGCTGACCATATTCTTCAAACAGCCTCTGCCTAGCAAGCTTGTATCCATTCTCAGGCTTCTTTGTGAAGTATTCTAATTGTGCACGAATTCTCTCTTCACAATATTGCAACAAACACACAAGCTTCTGGCTATTTGTTTCTAGTTTCGGTGCCAGGTGGATGTCAAAATTTGTTATGAAAGACATATACTTCAAAGGATCTCCATTGAACACAGGTAACTTGGGCTTCTGAAAGAAGAATTCTTCACGTCCATGATAATGGTGATGCTGTATAACTGGAGATGATTCTCTTGTTCTCCGCTGTGAATAATGTTGTGGCCCAGATTCATAAACATAATCATTAACCGACTCACGATTTTCCTGAAGTGTCCTATATCCACGAGTCTGCACATCTGGCAACTCATTGACACTACTTTCATTTATTCGGAAAACGTGATGGTGTTCACGGCCAGCCATTCCATCTGGTTCAGCCGCAAATGAACATCCTGAGCTATCGCACGATTCACAGGCTGAAAGTTATAGCTTTGACCATTTCCAGTTCTATTTGGAACAGCATTATCATCTCTTCTCAATGGAGTCTGAGAATATGTGTGTACATTATGCGACCTTGCGAAACGTACTCGTTCATGACACGAATCAGAGGCAGCATAGCCATCATGGTTGGTATTTATTCTAGTATGTGTGGCTTCATTCTGTAGCGAAGCAGATCGACGCCTGTTCAATGATGAAACATCAGCTTGCATTACATTTTTATGCACAGTTGTAGAGGAATTTTATCACCAACCTGGAGTGAGTTCACCAATTTGGGTGATGAAGGTTTTTGCTCAGTACTTGCAGTCTCTTCTCTGCGGCTCGCCAATGGCACTGAAGGCTTTTTATCACTTGCCCTGCTCGTACCTGGCAACACATTAATAGGACTCAAGTTATTGAAATCTCCATCACCTTTTATTGAATCACCAGTTGATTTCGTATCCCACAATAAAAATTCCACTTCAGTCAATTCCACTTTACGCTGTGCATCACGAAGCTCCATTTTACGTTTCAAAGCTTCCTCCTCTAGCTTTTCTTCCGTGTGACGAAGCTGTCCTTCTAGCTTTCTTCCGTGACGAAGCTGTACAATTGCACTGCAATCTTCTCTTGAAGGATGCTCTCGATGTATTGTCAGAACAAAATACTACAACGCATACTTTGACGATACATTTCCTGGTTGCACAGTTGAATGCCGTTTTAAATTTTCAAACCATTCCGAGATGCGTGAATCAAATTCCGATTTTTTCACGCTCAAATCATAGTCACAGGAAAGTCAGTAATCTCTTTACCTGCACTTTCAGGAATCATGTCAATTAAAGAGATTAGCTGCTGAACACTTCAATCAACTTCTAGCCTTACTACACTGACAACTTTTTCAAGCGTTTTCACGTTGAAGCATCAAACGTTCAGCTATCAAATACTTTTCCTGCAAAGCAGATCGCAAAATGTCCCAACTGCTGCTTTGCCTTGGATTCCATTGTAGCTTGAACGATGAAAGTCTTTCAACCTTGAACAGTATCTTATTAATTATCGACGTCTTGTTGCAAGACACAATGAATAAGTCGAAAACTTTTTGCAATCAGCAAAAAGGCAAAAGTCGAAAACTTGCAGAAGTCGAAAACTCTTTGCACCCAGCAAAAAGGCACTAGTCGAAAACTTGCAGAAGTCGAAAACTCTTTGCACCCAGCAAAAAGGCACAAGTCGAAAACTTGCAGAAGTCGAAAACTTTTTATGTAGAAGCTTGACGGGGTGTGACCCTTATGCACCCTGCTGCTACACAAAGAACGAAGGGCGCGAACCGTGCGCAAATTTCCAGTCTAAACGCCTAGTAGTCTATCCCAATACAGCAATATCAGTCTAATGTTCGGTCCAGACAATCCTCTCCAAATTATCCCTGCCTTATAACTGAGATAAGCAAGCTGAAGTCCAAGCCCACAATACACAACTTCAAACACAGGAGAATTGTAATATGTAGTGGAAATATCAAGCACTTGCTCAGCATAAATTATAAAATCGAGATGTCAGATGGAGCCAAATAGATCACGGAAACAGATGAACGAAATACAGATAGATTGAGTTGAGATGAGAGAGAGAGAGAGGTTTTCTAAAGAAAACAAAATACACTATAAATACTATGAATTTGCCGCATAAATAACCAACATGCAATCAAATTATATCGCTTACCGACTGTTTTTAGCCAAAGGTCAACAAATATATCGAATCTTTTATGTAACCGCAGAACACTGAAATAACACGAAGAAATAAGCACTACAGTAACAGTACTTAACCCTACAGCATTAATTGTGGCAATAAATATAATACCAACAGTATGTCATCCAAATAGGACTACTACATAACAAGCCAAATGAAATGAAATACAGAAACTCACCAAGAATTGTTCACAAAACAATCAAAACGCAGGACAGATTCACAAAATTGCAGTTCAATAATCCAGAGTTCAAATGCAGCAAATTTAAAACTATTAGCAAGTTAAATAAGCATGAAACAAAGAAAACCATAATTAGCCCACTATAATTAAATATGATACAGCTTTCCTAATGATAAATCGCCATAGAAGTAACGCATTGCAACAGCAAACTAGCTGTGCACATTTATAATTTCGGCTCTAACGCCAGGCGATACGATAACGATGTAAACACGCAAATTGCAGTAGACAGAAACCTTCTCGGCTCGGTCTACAGATAATAAAGAAACACATCAAATGCGAGTAATGAATTGAGACGTTTGCGACGTTGACAAACGAAAAGATGCAAACGTGTCAGCAATAAAGAAATAGACACTACCGGCGCTGGAGATCTAACAATTAGCTGATAATCATTAGCCGGCCGAGAAAGTGCGTGAAAAATTCCAACGATTAGAACAGTTACAATCAGGGGCGCACAAGGATGCCAAAATATAATTTCTAGAAACACCGGACCCATATATTTTTGAAGTTTTGTATGCGGATCTTTGGTAAAAGTAGTTGAGTAGCCCTGCCGTACAGTACCGGTATCCGCTGTGCCGCCCCTACTAAAATGAATATGTTGTGTGTCCAACCACGATCCCTCTTTGCTATGTTCTTACGGTATGTTAGTCGTTGGTTCTTACCAGGTTCTTACGTACGATGTCCGCTGTATTGCTAATAAAGTGGCTACGGCAGTTACGTCCCTACTGAAATTGATTGGCCCGCTATGTCTAAAATCGCGATCTTGCTATGTCCCTACCACAATGGTTCTTTATCTTTGCGAGTCTGGCTAACGATACTCTAAGAGCTTTCGTCGAATCCCAACGATTTGAACAGTTACAATCAGGGGCGCAACTAGAACTTTATAAGAGAGAACCTAATTTTGTACATGGTTATGGAAAGTACAACCGCCTTCAATTGACTGAGTATAAATTTGTTACTCTATGGACCCTTCTCCGAGCATCAATTTCCTTGTTTACTTGGTGACATCGGCCAATCAGCAAGCTGCAAATAGTGACGTAACAATGCTCCCTTTTCACATCCGACACTTTTTTCACTCAGACAGATTTTCAAGCGTGGTCGTAAACATTACCCATATTTCGCGTTTTTGAACTCTATTCGTTAGTTTTCAGTTGTGTTTCAGAAACTTAAATACAAATCAGATAATTCAATGATCACTCTGTTTTCCGAGGAGTTTTATTTTAATTACAGTAATAAAAAATTAGTGTAGAAACAAGAGAGCTATGCTCAAATATATGGACACGTAGAGTCACATAATTTTGATGACGTCATAGCGAAAAAAAAAGTAATAGCCTTCTGGAGAAAATTTTTATCTTTAACCACTAAAAATTTCAAAGCAATTGGTCCAGTATTCGAAGAGAAAAGCGACTTTTTAAAAACGTGTCAAGCGGTACTGAGTTAGCAGTCAGGCAGCATCTTACCTGTACACTGTAGGCCATATACGGTAATTGATCACAGAACAGTTGTTCCCTTGCAAATTTTATGTTGTTTACACTTTAGGACAGATAATTGATCACAGAACAATTCTTCCCTTTCAATTTTATGTTGTTTCCAGTAGACTCTCATCAAAATAAACAAATATAGTAGGCTACAAGTGCTACAACGCTTGCATTACTGCACTGGTAGGACCGTGAAAAGAATAAGTTACGGTAATTTCATTGTGGTAAGACACCGTACCGGCACCAGTACCAGTATCGTACTTACGTACTGAGCTACAGTACCGGTTAGCAGTCAGTCAGGCATCTTACCTGTACACTGTAGGCCATATACGGTAATTGATCACAGAACAGTTGTTCCCTTGCAAATTTTATGTTGTTTACACTTTAGGACAGATAATTGATCACAGAACAATTCTTCCCTTTCAAATTTTATGTTGTTTCCAGTAGACTCTCATCAAAATAAACAAATATAGTAGGCTACAAGTGCTACAACGCTTGCATTACTGCACTGGTAGGACCGTGAAAGAATAAGTTACGGTAATTTCATTGTGGTAAGACACCGGTACCGGCACCAGTACCAGTATCGTACTTACGTACTGAGCTACCAGTACCGGTACCGAACCTGTAGGTCTGATATTCCGTTCCGCATACGATAGGCTATAAAACTTGCATTGCAGCATTAGTAATACCGCGGAAGGAATAAGTCAATTTCACTGCGTTACGGTACCGGTATGGTATGGCAAC